GAAGTTCCACTGTTTCCGTCAGGCCTGGGGGGACTGAAGTGACGGAATCGCACCAACTAACCACATGATATGCCATTCTGTGCATGAAATAGGAGGGATCTGGGAACAGCTTTAATTAAGACCTAGTTCCAGACCCTTCCTTGTTCTTGTCCGCAATAGCGGGTACTCCAACTGCGGGTAACAATCTCTATTTAGGCGTTATCCAGATAATAACAATATTTCGAAAAACTGACGTTCAACGTCATCTAGTTTCAAACTAAGTATAGCTTGTACTATGAAAGCTATACATACTTACTTTTTTGCGATACTTTTGTGACTCCTGAGTTGCAGACGTTCTCTGCTCGTCTGACCCCTCTATCATAAAAAACAAAACAAAAAACATGTGGACATCGCTTCCTCTTGACATTTCTGCACTACCCTCACCACCACACACCCTCACCACCACCACAGTCTACATTAGACTGGGAGAAAATGTCTGTCGCATGAAGTCCAATATTGTAAAATGCCATCTAAGTATACATATAAAATTACATTACATAACTGACTGATTCGTCAATGCAGAAACCGCTGGGCTTTTTTTTTGACGGTTTGGAAAATCCCTTCGGAACACCGGCTCCTAGAGGACGCAGGAGCCAGTAGAATATGGTGTTTCCTCTAAAAACTTCCCCGACAGGCCCCGGCCTCAGACCCTGCTACTTGACAGCTGGTGCTTTTTATATAGAAAGCACCCACTAAAAGAGGACTTTTAAATACCCCTAAGGAGGTTAAATAAACGATTAACGTTTGTATGGAAGTTATACATTTTCAAAGCATTTCAAACACGAAATTAGAAGTAATTATGCGAGCGGAGCGGCCGGCCAGCTTTAAGTAAAATAAATCTTCAAAAGCGAGAATTCACTAACCAATAACGTTTATTTAGTTCATATGAAAAGGCTTGTGTCCACTAATAACAAATTATTTGGTTCATAGTTTCAAATTATAAATGAAGAGACATAGATAAGAAAAAACGAGTCTATTTCTCATAAAATAAAGATAAATATTTTTTTTAATAAATTGAACAAAATAGGCATTAAGTCACGTGACAGCGAACACCAATCAGAAAGTGTTACGTCACGCCACGTAAAACATTGTTGTTGTTGACGTTTTCATACAACAGAGCAGGTTACTCCTTATTGTTTTTCCTTTTTAGCATATTTTCTCACCTTTATACAGTTTCGGTTGACACTAGACACAGATGTAAACAGTTTTGTTTCACAGACTCTGACGTCATTCAAGACGCCATGACACTATTCAGCGTTTTCAAGGGAAATTTAAATTGTTTTTTTTTTAATAGAAAATACGTAATGTAAATATTGCTTTTTCTTTAAAATATAGGTTTTTGGGATAAAATAGATATTAAAATATATAATTAACCAAGTTTTCAAATTGAGTCAACTAGCCTATTATCATTCACGACTGCACAGGTGTTTTCGCTTGAAATATCGCAATCGGTAAACTATCTATACAAATAAATAAAATTGAAGTGTCTGTTTGTAATATTAAAATAACCGCTTTTTACTAAATGCATATGTATGTTTACACGGTACATACGCCAAAATAACATTTTTTACAATTTTTGTCTGTCTGTCTGTCTGTTTGTTCCGGGTAATCTCTGGTACGGCTGGACCGATTTCGACGGGACTTTCACTGGCTGATAGCTGATGACATAAGGAGTAACTTAGGCTACTTTTTTAGACTAGCTTCGCCCCGCGGCGTTGCCCGCGGTTATAACAACAAACGCGTGTAACACCGCGGCTCTCAGCTAGTCGATAATAAAACCGATTGCAAATACGAGTGTTCTTAAATTATCAATAACGAGTCAGACAGACAAGTCAGCCAGTCTGAAGTTTGTTGCATAACCAAAGTAATAACACACATCTCACACACGGCAATCTGATCCCAAACTAAACAGAGCCTGTACTATGGTAACCAGACTGCTGATAAACATACTTATATATTTCTAAATACACTTGCTATACGCGAAACATGTGTGAACCCATTGTGTGAATTGTGTTATCCGTGAGGCGACAGATTGAGAATACGGAGCCCACTAAGGAAAAACTACGCAGGACAACAGCACTGCAAAGAGAAGTAAAACTTGACACAAACCTTATACCAACCCGTCTGGCCAGTAGGTAAAAACCACCTTTCTGAGGTGGGGCCTATGTCTAGCAGTGGACTATTAACGGCTGTTGATGATGATAATGCGTGGATTGTTGCTGTTAATCCAAGTTTCACCAGTTGTAAGGATACGTTTTACCTATGAACGTTACAACATCTAACTAGAAGCGCCAGAAAGGGTTAAATAAATTGAAAATATGCATTAAAAATATATAAAAATGGCGATTGTTTTTGCATTTAAAAAAGGTCGCTAAGAGTTTTTGCTACTTTCAAATAATCTGACTTTTGAATCTAAAACGACCATCTTAAGGTATCATTTAACATCTCCTGTTAATTTATGAATATTTTTTTCGGTTTAAAAAAATATTCATGCAGGAAAAAGAAAAATGTGTGAACAGTGACATCTCTTGTTCGGATGTGAGTATTACTTCATTCTTTTTTCTTTATACTTCAATGAGGTCTAGCTTCCATCTACTAGATGGCAGTACTTTTAATTTAACAGTTGATAATTTAAAACATAATTGTTTCATTATATTTAAGTTATTAATAAATACAATTAATATTTTATTTAAAATAAATTACATATACCTACAATTTCGAAAAATATTATGTATGGTTTAATTCAATATTTAATGGCTGTATCACAATATTGTGAGATCGATAGTAAATCGGAACTGAATTTTGAACAAATTTTTATTTCGAGATTTGACCCTCTGTTACTTAAATGAAATCATATTTTTGTTTTAATAAGATCAACATTTTAATTTTCAAAATATTTTTTTAAAGTTAATACATGTCTGCTAAACTTACTCATTGTAAATGTCTATTTTGGTTTTATATAGTTTTTAATACTAGATGAATGTATAAAAAATATATGATTATTTCTGGTATTTATTCTAGCACATGGGGTTGGAAAGCTAAAAGACGAAATATTTAGTTGCCAAGACCAAAAAATTTCTAAGGTTGGCATCCCTGGGACCAAACTTGACAATAACGTCATAATATATGTGTAATAAATGTACAAATATGATAACGTCAAAATCGTATGATTCGGTGCTGTCAGCCTTGTGGATTATCCACTAAATCATGTAGTTTCGATCACAGTGGTTAAATTTCACGTTTAGTGGCTAATAATAGTAAGATTATAGAGGAATTCGGAGATGATTCAAGAACCTATGATGGGAAAGAAACGATGGAGATTGGATGATGATTGGAGAGAAGGAAGTGCTTAGAAAAAGAAGGATTATTAATTTAAAGCAATGGGATGAGAGAGGGGAAGGTTCCGGAGTCGAGAGAGAAGTCAGTAATGTACTTAGAGTGTAACTTAGAGGACGTAATCCAGGATGGTAACCATCATCTCACGACTAACTTCTACACAACCTATTACATTAGAACGGACAGACATCTTTTTGGTGTCCCGGAAGGCACCAGATAAAATTCAAAGTTGAAAATTATGGGTCTGGGGATTGGACAAACTATCAATATAGATCATCGTCAAACTCTTGGTTTGATGATCCAGTTGAGTAGAAGAATAGAAATGAAGATTTATATAATTCAAAGCAATGGTCGTTCGAAACTCGGTCCATTGATGCCCATCATGTTAGAGAACTACCACATACTGGAAGTCTTGCATTTCAAAGACGCCCAAGGGAATTCGAGATTTGAAGAATTATTCCAATGCCAATGTTAAGAGATTATTAAGAAGTAAGAATGTAATAAAAACAAGCAAAGAAATAGCATGAGTTTTTTTATATGCCATGTTTTGAGGTTGAAAGGAAAATGCTGCAACGAATATGAAATTAAAAAACAACAAAATTTACTATTTGTTTGTTGATTTATTGATTCTTAGTATTACTGTCACTAAAGTCAATAAATAAAGGAAACTAATTATTAATATACTTACTGTTTTCTTTCGTAATAACTAAAAAATATGTAATGAAAAATTTAGTGGTAATTAGAATGGTTTTCTGGTGGTTTTGCATGTTAAATCTAGTGGATACTAGTCTTGTGCTTAATCGGACATCTGCAGGTTCGCACCGTACTAGTACAATTCGTACAACGTATTAGCACACCGTAATAGTACTATTAGTACAGTTTTAGTAGAAGAAGAAAATTTAAGCGTTTGTATTGATATTACCAACATTAATGAAACGGAATACTAATAATTAAATAAATTAAAATATGTAATAAAAAAAAAGTGTTATAGTTTTTTTTTAATATGATGGCTTTGTATTAGGCAGTTACTTTTCTTCAGTATAGAAATAATTACACAGTTCTTGACTATTTTTAATGTGTTATCCCTTTCTAAATCCCTTTGACTTTTGAATACGATTTTTTAGATTAGTTTACACTAAATTTTTAAGCATATTGTAGTACATCCTGCATCGCTGTCCCTTTTACTCTCACACTGTTTACTAATACGGAACAATAAAGCGGAGCATTAATAGTACGTCGTACAGCGAACGAACGTAGACACTAGTAGACAGAGTAAACAATAGATAGTTTTAGTACTGCGCTTGAAGTTGACAGTGTCTACTAATAGCGCAAAATGGCCGATTAACAGCTGCCTTTCGGCAATATTACTTTTAGTACAATACCCAGTACTAGTACCTAACAGTACATCGTACGTGTACTACCCAAGACTAGTGGAGACTTAAATTAACTGTTGGCAGCACTGGTACGATTGCACATTCAGCTCACAGAGTACATTGTAATATACTGAAAATTCAGCTCATTCATCTGTCAACATATCAATATCATACTATACCTTAATATTTATTCTGTGCTTGCGTGTACACTGCACTACGCAATTGTAAACTAGAGTCAAGACTTTGCGTACAATGTCTCGATATAAGAATAAACTTGATTTAGAGAAACTGGACGAGTTAGTAATGTTTATGCGACCAGAAAATCGGATTGACCTAAGACTATTAAGTGTCAATTATTTGACTGGATTATGCACGTGTGAAGAGTACATCAATGCCATGTTTTCAAACGAAAAACTCATACAAGGTCTTATTAATCTCACTGATGACAAAGTTGAGGAAATTGCCAAAAAGACTCTTCTAATACTAGTAAATATTACTGCAACTCCTAACGGCGTAACACAGTTACTGAAATATAAGACGGACGAGGGCAAAAACATTATTAAATTGCTTATAGGTTATGTTTTGGATCCACAAAAACATGATGCGGATGCTGCGTGCATGATTCTCTCTAACATAACTCGAATAGAATCAGAGGCAGAGAAACTAATAGAAATTTTTCAACCTCATTTAAATGACCTCTTATACGCGTTTGTAAATATAGAATATAACAAAAGAGGTTCTAATTTAAATTTTATAGGACCTTTAATTTCTAACCTATCTTGTTTCCATAGCGTTAGGAAATGGCTAACTGAAGAAAAGCCGCACATTCCATTATTAAAACTCCTACCGTTCTGCAATTTTACTCATTCAAACGTGCGCAGAGGAGGTGCAGTGGGAACCATCAGAAACCTCTCATTTGACCCTCAATTTCACGATTTCCTAATCAGTAATGACGTGGATCTGCTGTCATATCTACTACTGCCGTTGATGGGAAATGAAGAATATAAGGATGAAGAAATGGATGAGCTACCGTTAACATTACAGTACTTACCAAAGGACAAGGTTCGAGATGATGATGCAGACATCCGTAAAATGCTTCTAGAGACATTAAATAAGCTATGCGTGAAAAAAAAGGGACGTGAATTTCTGAGAGATAACGGTGTGTACTATGTTTTGAGAGAATATCACAAATGGGAGAAGGATTCCAAGGTGCGGCTCTGTTGTGAAAACGTTGTCGACATTTTAATACAGAAAGAAGAAGAAGTTGGAACGGAAGATTTTTCAATGGTTGAAGTGCCGGAGGAAATGGTTGAAAAATTTGAAAAGATGGATGGAGAATATGAAACATGAATCAATTCATCCAATGACACCCTATCCGGTGATGAGGACTCCTTCGGTTTTGCTAGTCAGAGCCCGCTAAAGGAGGAAAGGCTGAACATGAAAAATTAATAATAAATTTGTAAAATCACTTTTTGTTTTTTGTGCGATGGTACGGACAGATTTGGTTTAAATTTGAAATCAGTAACCTTGTTTTTCATTGTTTACCCGAATTAGGTGTTTTGGGTTATATGCCTAGAGTGCTAAGCCTTCAAATCAAAATAAAATCAAAATATACACTAATATTGCTTATACCGCTGGGACTACAAACTTGGAATTTTGGCAGCCGATGCCATTTATGTTCGGAGCACCCACTTAGAAAGGATTTTTAAAAATTTCATACCTAAAGGGGTAAAATAGGAGATGAACTATCCATATGGCAGTTCATCGTTTTTAAAGTTAAAAACATGAAATAAGAAATCCAATAAATACGCCCAGACAAATTTCTATAAACAACATCCCTTGCCTGCTATCATTAGTATTATCTATTAATTATTTATTACTTTATGCACAATGTGTACAGGAGTGGACTTAATGCTAAAACTTTCTTCTAGTAAAAATGAATGATAATATATGCATTCTAGTAAAAGTAAGTATTGTGTAAAGAATAAAACAGAGCAAATAATGAATGGGCCCGACCGGAGTGATACCACATAGGCCTCACAGATAACTGGTGTTCAGCAATTCTTTCATTGATTTTCACTGAGTGAGTGAGGTTACCGGAGCCCAAATCCCCCCTCCCGCTGACTCCGCGAAAGGGACTCCAAGGACGGCAACGCAAATGTCCATGGGTGGCGCTAGTTGCTTACCATCAGGTGACCCGTCTGCTCAAACAAAAAAAAAACATACATACAATAATAGGTACATAGATGGTCGAAATCAGATATCGTAGATGATACAATGATCAATATTATAGGTATATTCTCCATACAAACTTGCACCCCTTTCAAGGGTTGTTTTGAAAAATAGTATCTTTAAACGACCAAGTATTGTATAAATATGTATATATAATCTGAATCTCGGAAACGTCTCCAACGAATTTCATGAAATTTAGTATGAAATTCTGTAAAAAAAAAACACTATTGATTAAATAGACATTTATTAATAAAATTATCATTCAATGTCTAATCTCACAAATGATATCATCAAAAATTATATTCAGACAATTCTCATTTTAACATATATGTAGACTTACATATAAAAATGTATCACTACGGGTAACTCAGAAACTGTAAGTTCTTAAGACTATAATAATAATAATACCCTCACACATCTCACACACGGCTGTCTGATCCCAAACTAGGCAGAGCCTGTACTATGGTAACCAGACTGCTGATAAACATACTTATATATTTCTAAATACATACATATTATAGATAAATTACACCCAGACACAGAACAGAAATGATCGTGCTCATCACACAAATTTTGTCCTGGGTGGGAATCTAACCTACGATCTCCGGCTTAGCAGTCAGGGTCACTAACCACTAGACCAACAGGCCCGTCTAAACACTATCAGAATTTAGACAATGGAAGTACAGAAGATCCACTCCGCAAAATCATTAAAACTAATAAATCTTAATGCCGAAACATTAAGGTGCAATTCTGGTTGCAGAACGCTATCACCTACGAGTTGACGTCTTTTGTGTTTCGTATCCTTATTATTTAACATTTTTTATAATTTTGTCTTTATTATAGTACTGAACAAATATGATACACTTGTAAGCAGAGGACGCCATGTACTTGTAGTTTAATGGATAAAGTGCGGAGTGGGCGTGGACTTACAGAGAATGAGAACCACAGGTTATGTGATTAGTTTCTTATATTAATTAAACTTGTCAACAATATATAGTAAACTAAAGCGGTAAATTGTTTTAACACATTTAAGAAAAGTACGCCCCTTTCTAATGGACTAGAATTAGTCGAAGGACTAGTTTCAAGCGATATTCAGTTGTATTCATACTTGATAAGGTTTATTTTTTATTCAAAACTCACAACAACACTAACAATAGATGGTAATAATTGAATTAGGCATACGTTGAAATGATGATGGCCTTTTATAGTAAAATCATCGGTTCTTGAGCAAGAGCTTAATTCAAAACAGAGTATTTTTTTTCTTGTTTTGTCTAAGTTGTACACGAAAACCTTAAATCTAAATATTAGTTAACTATGTTAATTAGGTCAAATACACATACACAGGTATTGTACACATGTCAATATAGATAAATTGATTGAAATTGAATAAAATAGGTATTAGAATATCTTTAAGATATTCCAAGTACCTTAATAACACATTACTGTTTTAATGATGTTTACATGGTTAATAACAGTATTAGTACGCTACACTTCCTGCAGATTTAGTGTAAAATATGTCAATATAACCAACTTAAAAAAAGGAGGGTTATATAATATCCTTATATGATATGTACGTGGTATGCTCAGCAATTAAATTACTGACATTACGCACGCAATACTTATACTAAGATTTTTTTTTAAGTTTGGCTTTGTCTGTCCGTTAGTCTCATTGTTCCAGTTTATCTCCTAAACGGCTGCGGCGCTGCCTATGAGAGTTCCACTATCAGATAGATAGTACATAAATATTCGCTATTTAATGTATTTTAATTCCCCCAGCCTTAGTTTATATAAAAATAATATGAAAGTTCCTAATTTATTAAAGTACAGCTTAATTAGAAGTTTTTATTTTAATAATGTTTTTTTAAGTTATCTTAAAGTATAAACTTATAAAAGTCGAAAAACACTTATAAGTACAACCAACTTCAATATAAATCAATTAAAACTTAATCAACCAATTTACAAAATTATCACATCATGGTCAAGTTAGACCTTGAAGCAAAATACATGAGCACCAAATCTAAAAATATAAATTTTACTCTAATAAAATAGAGTTCAAAATCGCATGACTGTAACTTTTCACAGTCTGAGTAGGCATATAAAGTCTAAGATTCTCCTCCTTTTTTAAAGTTAGTCAATTAACTTTTTAATTATGAAATACAATGTTACCGGTAATAAATAACAATACTTTTACGATGTTGTTGCAGACAAAACTCTAAACCAGTTTAAAGTATTTTGAACAAATAAATTCAGTCAAAATTATATAAAACTATTGGCTCTGGAGAAATTTTAGTCAAATATTAAAATGATATTATAGTCAAAAGTATCGCTAAATACATCTAGTTTACAGAGCAAATTCCGATATTTTTAAACAGTTATAAAGTGAATTTTGACTGATGATCCAAAGTATTGTTACATTTCAAATTATAAAAAATCAAAAGTTATTTTGACTGAAGCTGCAAAAATTGAGTCAAATAGCATCAGTCAAAACTAAATTTTAGTATCAAAATCCATAACTTAAAGTCAACTTTTGACTGATAAAAAATTCTGACTGTAACTGACTGTTGTTTACTCATTGGAGAGGTCGGTAGTTTTTCACGCCCTCCATCCGGGCCTTGCGACGTTCTGAAGGTGTAGCGCCCTTAACTTTCATTATTATGTGTGCACCCTTCTTAGCAGGATCTGGCTTATACGACTGTGTATTCTCCTGCAAGAGATAAAGCAAAATGAGGAACCCGCATTAGGAATATATTCTGTGTCGCGGGTGACTTTACAAACGTGCATGAAAAGGACACAAAGAACACCCAGGCTCAGAACAACAATTTGTGGATCACACAAAGTGTCGTCCCATGTGGGGATAGAACCCGGCGTGGCGAACGCTTAAACCACTACGCCATAGGTGCAGTCGATTCTAGTGGTACAATCGGTTACAGTGGTATAACAGGTGTTATGTCATATGTATTACAGGAAGGTTAGGAAGCTTTGTGTTGTAAGCGTGGAGTTTTTGTGCACAATTGAATAGAATTGTTACAGTTAAATTAAGTAATATTTGGTTTCTTTACTCAAGCAACACAAACAATGGCAGCTCGGCAAGCTCTCTCAGCTGCAGACTGCAGATCATTCGCTCGCTTGAACCTAATAGCTAGTTTCAATATAAAAGGTTTTAGGGATAATTTGGTAGATTATTTCTGATAAACATTTTGAACGTAACGCCAGGATCCAATCTAATTTGTGATGACGACCGATACCGGGCGAAATTGCGAAGGTACCGCGAAGTTCTCTGGTCTTAAGATATAACTTATATAAAACCATCATTCCCAACTTACATTGTCCCACGATTCTTCATTGGGGTCCACACTCGTTGGTGCACTAGAATGCACAGCCACCTGTGGACGGTAGTCATCGTCCAGGACGAACATTTGAGAGTCCAGCATGTGCCTTTTAGGGCACACAGTGACATGGAACTGGGGGGGGAAAGAAACCAATCATAAGAACTGCTGCTGTCGTGATTATTAGCATCCGACCGAGTGCTATGTACAAGCCATGATCAAGTTGGGTCGGGAGAAGTTCTGTATTGTTCCGAGCTGGAGTTTGTGGTTACATCAATTAATACGCCAAATAGACACAAATTAATTACAGTAAACAAAACAATCATCACATAACAATAAATGGCACTAGAATTCGCTAGGATTGTCCGCTATTCTTCGCACCAGCCCACTCGCCGTATCGTAGCGGGTACACACAGCGCTTATGTTCCAGAAGTTTCGTGAACGTTATTAAAAAAACGCAACGGGAACTTTCTTGAACGTTCGAACCTTTTCAAGGTCATTCGTTTAATTACACATGTGTAGACTTGAGGGGAAGGTGACATAAATATTAAAAATATTAGTTGAAGTTATTCTAATATTGTTGTAACCGTGGGAGTGGATGTTTCGGCACATACCACAGCCTCTCAGAAAACTGGTATTAAACCATTCTATCGTTTCTTTTGACCAAGATCGTTAGGTAAACTCCGTCGTTCCCCTATAATTTTGGTGGGGGCAAGGGGATTTGTGTTTCTTGAGTTGCAAATGTCCATGAGCGGGGATAGTCAATTACCATCAGGTGACACGTCTGCTCTTTAGCCCACTCTTAAATAAAAAATATATTTATAGAAATCTTTTAGGGTTACCGTACACGTTGAGTCTGCTTTAACACATTGGCCATTTTGTTAACCCTCTTCTAAGTCCGCATGTTATCACAAGGGACGGAACCCAATGTTGGTTCTTTCTAATTTTTATATCGACGTTATAATTTTTTTTTATACCCCCTCCCCCATAAATACTAAAAAAAAATCAACTCACGGATATGCAGACGGACGGACAGTAAAGGCTTTTTTAACGTGTGCAAACCCCCTCGGGAGTTAGTCCTAGTCAGAGTCCCATTGAGATGCTAATAGGCTACAGAACCCTTGTTTTTAATTTCTACTTACATCTATTTCAACATCATTGACAATATGTGTCGCATCAAATGGGCAGGTGGCTTTCTTGGCATTGGGATGCTGTTTGCGGCACTTTTGAAGATGGATGTGCATCCTATAGTGCTCAATTTGGTGCGTCTTCTCGTAGGGACATGTGACCATTTGGTTAGGATTTGGTTCAGCCATGATTGGACTTTGTTTCTGGAAATAAAAATTCACATATATACACTCCCATCTACGTCTAAGGAGGGATAGCCAGAGCCACGTCAATTCACAAATTGAAGGGTTGATACCATTAAAAAGTTATTATTATTATAAAGACGGGCAAGAAGTTGAAACAACTGATTGAAGTGTGTGTCGGGAGAGATTCCTATTAGTTGTCCTTCTTGGATTCAATTACCAAATTCAAAACCAACTAATTAAAAAATCGACTCGACAGTCGTTTTATGATTTGATTCACATTCAGGGCAGATATAATCATGTGGAAGCTTGTTCCATGTTCTGACTACACGATTGCTTATGAAGTGTTTGTGAGGATTGATGTTCGAGAAGCTGGTACAAAGCTTAAGATTGTGGCCTGTTAGATGAGTATTGTCATTTCTTGCCAATATTGTATGAAACTCTTGAATGTTATAATGTCCATTTAATTTCTTATAGGTTTCAATTAAGTGATTTAATTATTCCTATCCCCTTATTCTCCTAACCGTAGGAGCCATGTTTTAGCACATATGGGCTGGCTTGACTGGAGTAATACCACTGCATTACAGTCTAGCTCCTGATACTGGAGGCATTGTGATTCTTGAGCGTGATGGTGACTATGGGTGGCAGTGATCACCTACCATCAGGTGAAGCATCCGCTCTTTGCCCTCTTTTATAATTAAAAAAAGCTGTGTGATGATGTTAATACGGTTAAAATTACCCATTTTTTCTAAATAAAAAATAAAAATTTCTCATGTCAAGGTATTTGTGGTCACACTTCTTTGAAATGGCTTGACCCCTATTAATGTTTTTTTTTCTATATTTGGTAGGTATACGAATAGGTTTTAAAGTATTATTCACCCTCCAACCGCCACCTAACATTTTTCTATCGCAATTTTAGTATTTATGTGGTAAAACAATACTTGCCGAGCTTTTTATTTTTGTTTGTTACAAATGAAACCAAATTGAAAAAAGTATATTTTTTAATGGAGGGTAGGAAAATATATAGTTTAATTCAGATTTGAAGAAAAATTATCACCCCTGAGGGAAGAAAATTTAGAAATGAAAAATACAGATAATTAAAAAACATCATGGTAAAAGTATATTGCAATAAATGATACTATTTTAAAAGTTTATTATTAATTCAACTGGTTGTACTTCAGATCCACCTTGAACCTATTTGTGAATTTCAAGAAAATATATTTAAAACTAGCTTGTACCCACAACTTCATTCCATGTAGTACGGTGCGCAAATGCAATCCTTCAGGCTTTGGGTTTGAACCCGGACCGGACTAAATTTGTATAGATTAATGGACAAAGAATCATATCTTATTAGAATGTGTTGAGGTGTAGATGCATTTAGTTTCGTTTTTTCAAAGTTAGCTCCTGTCCGACATATAATTTGTTTTTCTATTCAATCTTGTGATTCATGTTTTAAGTACCCACTAGCAAAAACTTAATAAATGTTATTCAGTAACCTAAACAAGCTTTCTTGTTAGAATCTATTTGATATATATAACAGCAAATCAATCCTTATTCAAAACCAGTAATACCAAAATTACATAAAACTATAGAGAAGATGGCGGGCCCAAAAGATGACCTATCCTAATTACAATCAATAGATATCAAAAACGCGCCCTCAATTTTAAGTTTGTCTTTATTTCTAGTCTATTTTCCTAAAAGTAGGTAGGTGTCATAGGGAACAATACAAAAAATTGCAAGAAAGACAGTCGCCATAAAAAGCATTATTTAATATTTTTTTAGACAAAGAACATATTACGCAGAAAAGTGCGCCTGCGCGATTTCACGAAGAAAAAAAAACCTTTATTGAATAAGGAATCAACGCAAAACACGTTCGCAAAGGTAGGCAAATCTTTGCCTAAAAGTAGGTAATGTAGCTTCTACAAAATACTAACAGAAAATTATTTTATTATGAATCGTATCCATCATCGCCAATCTGTATTTAATAATTTACGATCGATGCAGAGAAGTGCATTTAAGCATGCGCCGAAATGCATGTTAATAGTTTGTTAACTACCTACTTACCTAGTCTTTTAGTATCTTCCTGTGTTTAATTGTAGAATTACTTCTACAAACTGCCGTTTATATTTGCTAAATGCAAATAATACTTATAGTTTTACTACAATACTTATTATGGTAAATTTAAAATTTCGAAACGATAGCGGCGAGCGAAGAGCATACAGCTTTTCAAGCACAGACTATACTATACATATACAGAATCAGGAAGAGATTATTTTTGTGAGCTGTCAATTGTTAGGAATGATCGGAATGAATGAACAATAATTTTTCAATTGCGGTTTAATTGAAATTGGAGAACACATCTTTGTAGACTACTCGTCTTGTGATCTTGTCTAGTCTTGTCACAAGTTGACTCAAAACTGGAACCCTTGAACTTATTTGATTTTATTTTTGATGATATAGCAAACGCAAAAACATAATGGACTTTGGACTGAATAAACACAGCATTATATAAATGAGAATTATAAAAAAACGCCACTTATCTTTATGTAGTATAAAATGAAGTCGCTTTTCGTTCTTGTACGCTTAGATCTTTCAAACTACGCAACAGATTTTAATAAATATTGTATGTAAAAATATCCTGAAGTATAGCCTAATCATAATAATAATATGAATGACTACTCCACATTGACACCACATTAGTATCTACATTGCTATCGCTAGTAAACATATAAAATAATGTCTCAAACTCAAGTACACCCTGTTTACAGTGCACTTTCAAGTGTCAGTTGGATACAAAATAATTATAATAAAAAAAAGACGAAACATTAGACAGATGTGTGAAAATATTATGATAATATAATAATATAATATTATTATTATTATGATTATTATTATTAGAACAACAGGGATGAGATGACCCCGATCTGAGTGGAAGGTCATAAGAGACATAAATAGCATATTTGTATCCCTATTGCAAGACTTAACATTGACCATTAAACACAATTTCATCATCATCATCATCTCTACCGAAAGACGTCCACTGCTGGACATAGGCCTTCCCCAAGGTGCACCACAATAAAATTTAGGTTGTTTATAATTAAATATTTTCTTTTTTTAGAGTTCCGTATATCAAAAGGAAAAAACGGTACCCTTATATAGAATCATTTTGCTGTTCGTCTGTTTGCCTATTTGACTATCAAAACCCTGTATCTCGGGCACGCGTTGAGGTATCAAGTTAAAATTGAAACGATATACTCAGGTCCACAGTCCCTTGAAGCTGTGAAAAATCAAACTTCTAAGTTAACGTCAAAAATATACGGCCGTTTATGTATGGTACGTATATTATGACACTCAAGGGAATTTATTGGATACTTCCCGTTGACCTAGATTCCTAGAACTATAAAATTTGGTAAGTAACATCGTCTTATACTACAAGTACAAGGAAAAATTTGGAAACAATTCATTTGTAATTAAATCATATTTTTTTTGTCTTTATTTAAAGTACGTAATCAATCAATCGAATTTCGGGAAAAGTTCGAAAAAACTGCGAGACTCGATTCCTGAACTATTTATTTATGTACCTAAAAATTTGTACGGGACCCTCGGTGGGCGAGTTTGACTCGCACTTGTCTGGATTTTTTTAAATCTGCCATCACCAGACGAGCTTATAAATAAAGCATAACCTGCATACTACCCGAAAATACTAATGCAAAAAAAATAATGGGTAATGAAGGTTGACGGTCGAGCAAATGAAAGCTCCTTTAGCGACAAAATGACGGCATTAATTCATGGTCCTTATCGTTAGTTGTTAGAGCCATTCTTCCCAAGCAGATTTTTCATTAATGTAATCCTTAACGCAGTAATGAGCTTTGAATTAATCCTTCGTTTAAAGTATTTTTTTTAAATCTATTTATAGGTAAACTGAATAAACTTTTTGGGATTTTGTTATACAAGTTCACAGAAGTTCTCTTCAGTGAATGATACAGCCGAATATCGGGCAAACGTTGATTATCAGTTTTTTTTTCTCAATTTATCTAAACTATTGCGAACATGCATAATACTTTCACAAACAATATTGATTCAGTCATAATATAATAATTTACTTTTATATTTATATAAGGCCGGTTTAAAACCAATTAAACCAATCCATTTTTTCGATTTAAAAAAGTTGGTGTTGATGACTATGTTTTTCTTAATTATAACTACTCATGATGGTGAATGGTGTAAAAACTATGTGAACGAGACAGCGAGACTCAACAAAGATCGGGGAATCCACGGTTAACATTTATTATCAATCACTGTAATTCCCCGCCATCGACATCAATTATTATTTTTCAGAATTGCCATATCAATCATAGGTGATCTGCTTTTGTACTTTTTTCTATTTTATTACATTTGCACAGCGGCTGTTGTATGTTTTTGTAAAACATTAAGGACCTCTATTTTCTCAAAATAAAATATCTAATAAAATTATCATGTTATTTAAGTTTTATTTAGTTACAGTTAATTCGTTATACACTAATGTAATGTTACCCAATACATTATATTGTTTACAAAAAGGGTAAGGTAAAGGGTAACGTTCTTAAAATTATAAATGCAAACATCTCAGGCTTATCTCATCTTCTTTTTGCAATGATTCAATTCATTCATTCAGCAAATAGGGTAAGTGCAAGGTGCAGGTAGTAAATCACAAACAGCTGACAAGTATTAATTACTTATTTATCTGTGGTTCCAACCAATCATAGTTGCCATATTCACCTCTTTTCTATTGGTGGTAACGTTTTTTTTACGTAGTAATTTATCGTACGTCTTTCTTACTAAGTAATATAACGCGTTACCAGATAAAGAAACCTAAGATAAAGGAACGTTTCTAGCCACTTACTGCGTTTCAACTTAGTGAAATAAAAAAATTATTAAGGCGTTCCGTACAGACTTATCGTTTTTTCTATTGTAACCTAATGTTTCTAGAAAACAAACTTTGCAGACATTGATTTTAGTTCCCGTTTCATTTAGCAGAAAATACAAGATACTTACATTCCTAGGCAATTTTCGATTATCTGTAACAGTTTTTCTCTTAGGCGTTTCTTTAGACGTGTTGTGTATTATAAAATATTTTTGTTCTTTCCAAGTCAAGTTTCTGTAGCAATAATTATTTTATTTCTTTTTATAAGCAAAGTAAAGCGTCTTTTCATTCTATGATCGAATAGTTATTTTATAAATTATTAAGACGCTTCTACTAACATGCGTCTTTTCAACTTAATATACGTCATAAATGTCTTTCTTATTTAGTAAATTTTGCATTATCAAGTAGAAGTGCCTTATTTATTATGTTTTTAGGGTTCTATTTAGTTTTTGCAAAAATAAAAAATACTGGTAGGTGCGTCTTTTTCTTCTGATTCCGAATATATAAATAGTGAGATTTTGAATTTGAATTTTAGAAGCGTCTTTTTTCTTATGACGGCAGAATACTGCAACACTGACAGCAGCGAAACACGAAAAGTTTCATTAGAAATTATTGGAAACAAATATTAATATCATTGGCTATTATAGCAGTTATAGTTATTTTTTATAGCAGTTGAAAAGTGCTCTTGTGTGAAATAGAAAAATTATAATGGATCCGATTTTTAATGACCCCATACATTTTTCTGAAGGGATAAATATAAGGTAAATGTGATATTTCACTATAAAGTAAAAATCGATTTATCCCGCTCAAAATAATAAGTCTTGTTATTTGTGATTTATGTCATGTTATGAATAAAAAAACTCAAATTACTTAACAATCTTACCATTTTAATATGTAAAGCCATAGATAAGCATTATATTAAAAAGTTTCCTAAACATTTATTAATTGGATTCTAGATGTGCCCGCGAATTCATCAGCATGTAATTTAATATTTCACCACTTAATAATATACGCTATATAATTCTAATTTATTTTTAAATCAAACTGCAAATATCTTAAAATGATAAAACATTATTTTAATTTTCGTAAATATTGCTACTAATTCTAAAAATAAAAAAACCCCAAAGTTTCAGGCGTTCGTGGGCGGAGGTAGTCACTTTCCATCAGGTTTCCCGACTGCTCGTTTGCCCACCTCACATAAATGAATGAAATAAATATACTATGGCCACCTATAAAAACTATATTGACATCTGTTTAGTTGTTTCAAAGAGAAAACTTACCTTGTACTCTATTTTTTCTCCTTTATCACCCTCTCTATTTATTACCTACTTCTTTTTCTGGCCTGTTGCTCTAGTGGTTAGTGACCCTGACAGCTAGCCAGAGGTTATGGGTCCGATTCCCATCCAGGACAAGTACTGTGTGATGAACACAATCATTTCTTCGGTCTGGGTGTAATTTATCTAAACATATGAATATCTTTAAAAATATATAAGTGTGTAGGAATGGGTGTCATGTCCCTCAGGATGGAAGGATCCTCCAACCAGACTTAATACCCAACTTATATAAACAGCTACCTGGTAGTAAAATATTATCAAAATTGGTCCAACTGTTAAGAAGATTACCTAGAACAAACAAACAGACAGACAGACAAAAAATAATAATACTGGTTTTTTGGGCATAGGTATTGCGCAAGTAACCGTGTAATCATAAAAAAACTTTTATTTGACATTACTAACAGTTACTGTAATGTTATTTATTTGCCTAGTTTATAATATTTAAAAAATGAGGTGTGTATTTTAATTCTAGGAACTTGCTGACAATGCCTACTGAAGTAAAACTAGAGTTCAAGAAGAAGAAAGATGTGCTGAATGATGATGATATCGGGTTAGACCTGGAGGACGAAGACAGGTATGAAGAAACTTCTCGAATGTATTTTATTACATTTCAAAATATGAAGTCTTGACTTGTATTTATTGATATTGTATTTGTTTTCGTACATTTAATCTATATCTAGAAAAGAATGCACACTTGAAACTATAGATATGTAGATATAGATATGGCACACTTATGACACTCCATTTTGCGTCGGGGTTTCAGGAAGCTCAAGTTGATCCATTGCTGGAAATGGGCTCTCCTTAGAAAGGAGGTTTAAGCCTATTATACCACGCTGGCCACAGAGCCATAGTGACTGGTAGTGCAGGTGGAGGGAACCAGATTACGCGGCTTATGCGCTGGACTGACCAGATGAAATCTGGAATGGAAAGCCGCCTGTCTGACTGTATCCGACGGTCTGTCAACAGAGAGAGATAATGGGAGATTGTAAAGAAGGCCTGATTCGCCCCTATCGTCGACGTGGACATCTGAATGTGACTGTGACCGGTTGCAATAGGGTTTGTTTCAAGTTCTACTTCTCCTTATAACACTGTTTTGCTGCGTAGCTTGCTCCCTTAGTCGGTTCTTGCGACACCCACAGCATGAATTTAGTAGTGAAATTGTTCTACTATTTCAGTAGTGACGATGACGTTCTGGCCACAATAGAAGAACAGGTTGACAATTTACTCCTCGCGTCTCCAGAATACCATACATTTGAACAGCTCGGCAGCAAGATGACAGATTGTGTGTGCCCAACGGGAGGAGTGAAGCTTCTGATCATTGAAGAAGGTTGGTATTATCAATGATTTTATCGAGAGAGTTGAGATTCTTCACATATTTTTGAAGTCTTGAACGATCAGGCACCGTTTGCAATGTACGAGGGGTGATTAATAAGTAATGATAATCAATATGAAACAGAACTATTAGATTAAAAAAAGTATTTTATTTTTCAACATAGTCTCCTTGCAAGTTAATACATTTAGTGTATCTTTTTTCTAAGCCCATGATTCCCTTAGAAAAAAATTCTTTTGTCTTGACCCTCCCAAAATGCCTCTACTGCGGCCATCACTTCACTATTGTCCTCAAATTTGTTGCCCCGGAGGTGTTCTTTGAGCCGAGGAAAGAGGTAGAAGTCACTGGGAGCTAGATCTGGCGAATAGGGAGGGTGTTCGAGCAGTTCAAACCCCGTTTCTTCAATGGCAGCCATCGCAACTGCGGCTTTGTGAGCCGGGGCGTTGTCTTGGTGAAACAGCACTCCAGCGCGCAGTTTACCGCGTCTTTTTGACTTAATAGCTTCTCGCAATCTTCTTATTTGGCCTGCGTAGTAAGAGCCTGTTATAGTGGCCCCCTTTTCCAAATATTCCACCATAATAATTCCTTCTGCATCCCAGAAAACAGACGCCATAACCTTTCCCGCTGAACTTGACACTTTGAATTTCTTCGGCGTTGGTGAGGAAGCTCGTTTCCAAGTCATTGATTGTTGTTTGGTTTCGGGATCAAAGTGGTGGATCCAGGTCTCGTCCATGGTCACAAAACGCGACAAAAAAATTCTTTATCGGCCTGGAACTTTTGAAGATTCACCCTCGAAATGTCGACTCGTTTCTTTTTTGCTCGTCGGTTAACATTCTCGGTTCCCAACGCGCAGAGACCTTTTTCATATGCATTTTGTTGACAATGATTTTTTGAACGCTGCCATAGGAGATCCCTGTGACCTCAGCTACATGCCTTACGGTCACCCTTCGATCGGCCAACACGATATCTTCCACTTTTTTGACGTTTTCTCCAGTAAGGGACGTGGAAGGGCGTCCCTCGCGATGTTCATCTTCAGTGGAGGTTCTGCCCAGCTTAAATTCCTTTGCCCAGCGTGCGACTGTGGAATATGGAGGAGCAGACTCCCCCAATGTTTCCTCTAAGTCGCTGTGTATGTCTTTGGTAGCCATTTTTTTCAGGCAGAGGTACTTGATGACAGCTCTTATTTCATTTTTCTCCATTTTGATGTTTTCTCTTCGACAGTTCGTATTCAAATGAATGTATCTCCCGGTAATGGTGTCCTATTTATACATTTTTTTGAAGCTGAAGTAGTGGATATATAAGCAAGCAGAAAAAAAATAATTTGGGTTTTTGTGCGTTCTAGAAATACTCGATTATCATTACTTATTGATCACCCCTCGTAAGCCCACAAAACCATAATTTTTACGACTAATCTTTGAAATTCTCGGTTTTCCTCCACTATAACATACATGTTCTACATATATAAACCCGCCTCTGAAATCGCCTTCTAATTGGTCTAAAATTGGTGGAAACCACATTAAAATAAGTTGCGTAATTTGAAAGATCTAAGCGTACAAGCACGGAAAGCGACTTCATTTCATATACTATGTAAAGATGTATTGGTTTTTGTAGATTTAACTTATACCGATGATATTTTAAGGAAGATACGTTATTTTCATACTGCACGCACAAAATATTTGTGCCGTACCTATACATACCTTTACTAACGCATTTAAAATAAAAAAAATAGAACAATAAATAAGCTACAATTGCGATAGGTAATAGGAACTAGGGAAACCATAAGACAGCTATTAATCAGTACAGCTACAGAAGGCAGTTTATGTTTTTTTTCGAATTAATTTTTATGGTCCTAAATAGGACCCTCACGTATTGTGCCTTGGTGGCGTTTCTACCTCTTGTATGTATATAATATCTTTTTTTTAAAGATAAAGTCCCCCGCTACATAGGGTGTATTCCTAATGCTCCTGCATTAGGAATACATCCTGTATATATCCTGAGTCGCGAGGGACTTTACAGACATACATGAAACTGACACCAAGACTTAGAACAACAATTTGTAGATTACACAAAGTGTCACCCGATGTGGGGATCGAACCCACAACACTCAGCGTTGTAGGAAACGGCGTGGCGAACGCTTAAACCACTACACCATCCGTGCAGTCAATATCATTGATCTCTACATATAATAATAACCTAAGAGCTTCGTGACATGTGCTGTCTTGGACAGAGTGAGATCACAGCCTCACAGAAAACTGGTGTAAAGCAAATCTATCGTTGATTTTAACCGAGCGAATGAGTTCACCGGAGACCCAACCCTCTCCATCCAGCTAGAGGGGGCATTTAATGGCTAGACTTAGTCTTAACCCTTATAACGTTAGCTGGACTGAAAATATAGTCAGTAAAATGTGGGTGTCTGATATGTCGCTGTCTGGGTTCTTCCTTCAGCAGTCTGGTCACCGTTTGGTTTAGGATCAAACGTCTCTGTGTGAGGTTAAGTTATTGTCTCTTCCTCCCACCGTTTTGCTCAAACTAGGTTGGGGTCGGTCGTAATACGATACGGCTGAACTTCGATTTTTTATATGGAGAGACTGCATCAGACATTCGAGGCGAGGCGATATCGAAGTTCTGTACAAAAAACTGTTGTCGGTCTTTTTGTGATTCGTAACGTTTGTCACTGACGTTCGTATGGCAACCGGGACGGATGGCCTAACGTGCTCTCCCAATGTGTTTGGAATGGTGACCCATCCATAGACAGACCTGGCTTGGATCGCTTAACTTTGCAATGTGTTCACGTCACAATAAGAGCCCCAATCTTGCAATATATGCAACGAGAGAGATGGATAATAAATATTTCCCTCAATCTCTTTCTAGTCGTGCTCTGTGGTTGACGTTGGAAATTTCTACTCTCCCGCCTTTTCTACGATCAAAACCATGCCCAATTCACGATAGCCAATCGCAGCTTAGCTAAACAGAGACAGAGGGAACTATCGGGCATCCAACTCTCCCGTTGCCGGTATAGCTTCCACTTACTGCTGTACCCTAGCTATACCCCATGTTCTCTCTATGGTTAACCTACTCGATTAAAACTAAGCCACGAGTAAGTAATTATTGTTAATTAATTTCTGTTAAAATGTTTACAGGACAAGGACCTTTAATATCACTGGATGCTGAAGTAACATATCATTACGCTGCTTACTGGGAAGGGGCTAAGCTGCCTTTCGATTCTACCCTCACCATGAATCAAGGAAAACCATTGGTATTACTTTTTTTATGGCTTATATGATGGATAGACGAGACTGTTGTGAAAAGAATACCTTTAATATTATATACCAGCCTGTGCCTGCTGCTGCAGGGTAAAAGTAGCCTATGTTACTCGCTGATAATGTAGCTTTCCATTTGTGAAAGAATTTTTAAAATCGGTTAAATGGTTTAGGCGTGAAAGCGTAACAAACAAATACACGAACAGTGTGGTATGGATAATAATAATAATAATATTTCGGACATCTGAAACAGAACACTAACCATTCATTTTCTGAATTCAAAATACTTTATTTACTTAACTGACATATTTACAATAAAAATAAAAAAAATCTAGGGAGGGTCACCCTTATCTAGGGGTATAAAAAATTGCTTACGACCTATTCTGAGACCTACTAAATATACACAAAAAAATCATAAAAATCGGTCAAGCCGTTTCGTAGGAGTTCAATAGTAAACACTGACACGAGATTTGTATATATTAGATAAAAATAATATATAATAAAAATAATATATAATATATAACATAGATAAAAATAATATTTTGGACAACTGAAAACGCCATCTAGTTTCAAACTAAGTAGAGCTTGTACTATGAAAATCAGATTGACTGATAGAATACTTATATACTATTTTCTTGTTAATACATACATATTATACATAGATAGGGCAATGCAATGGGAGAGGCCTATGTCCAGCAGTGGACTGCGATAGGCTGATAATGATGGTGATACATAGAAAACACCAATATATGCTATAAATTAAAAAAGTTAGATTTATTATAGATAGTATAGATTTATTTTATTCTTCGTAAATATAAATTACACATATATTCCAGCACAAAACATGCAGATCATTTAAACATTTGGTCCTATTCGATAATCAAACCCAAGACCTCAGCACAGCAGTCGCATACGCTACCACTGCACCACCGTCTTAATGTCTAAACCTATATACAACATAGAAACGTGTCCAGTATATATAATGATCTGTCACGGTACAAAATCTTTACAATGGGAGTTCAAGTTATACTGGATAAAGAACAAAGTATGAAATCCGTTTAAAATTCGAGTGCCAGGCGATCTTTTGGGATGTCTTATCTTCTCTTTTGTTTCCAGCGCCAAAGAGTCGGTATGGGAATGCTTCCAGGCATCACTTTCGGTTTCCTAAACGTCCGTGGACCTACTGCTAGATTCTTCCTCCTGCTGCAACCGAATGTGGCATACTTGGACTGTGGAGTTCCACCGAGGATCAGACCCTCAGAGCCAGTACTCTTTGTCGTGATGCTGTATGATGTGAGGAACCTTCAAGCTGCTGCAAGGTATTTCAAGTATTTTTACTAAGGTTTTTGACGAAGACCAGACTAGGATTATACCTCTGGGTCCAGATGTCTTAATATCAGCTGTTCCCGGATCCCCCCTATCTTAGGCGCGGAGTGACACACCGTGTGGTTTTAGTCGGTTCGATTCCCACACACCGCCCCGCCAGAAATCCCGGTGGAGTGACGGCTCGAGGGGGTTTCCTCACGTCAGACATGGGAATTATTGCTACTTTTAAACCATAATCATAATAATATGATGACATGATTAGCTCAAGTCACTGCGGTTACACCTGTGATTGGTTGTTACAGGTGATTGTGATTTTATTCCATCCCTACCACACGTTAAAAAAGCCGTGTGGTGTCGTGGGACACCCGATAGGAACGAAGTTGTGACGATCGAGTAAAACTGATTCGACACGATTTTAATTACAACGCCATCTATGAAAGCGGCTATAACCTACATATTTTTCAGTTGGTTTCTAATTAAAACAATTTATACATTGGTAAAATCTCCTTGAGAAATGATGTCGAATACAATATTTTTTGCTCAACCTAAGAACATAAATTATAATTTTACTTATATGAAAAGTAATGATTTCCTATCTATTCGATAGATGGCGCTGAATGACTGACAAGTGACAATTCAAAATAAAAAGTGTCGTTACAACTTTTCGTGAGAATTTTTCCCGACTAGCCCCCTTTCACAACGCGCGATAAGGAACTTCGTTCCAAAAAAAAAACAATTCGACAGACTACCAGAAGGTCAATTCTCGAAATAGAAATTTGTTAACAATTCAGTTCCGATCTACTTTCACAAATGTCATAAAAAGTGTTAGCACATTACGAATATTGTTTTGTAACTAACTATGTATGTCAATTCAATAACAGCGACTCCAAAAATTTCCTTGATAAAATTATAGTTACCGTAATATTTTTACTAGTCAGCTAAATATCTGTTTGAATGTGTGTGTGTATAGATGTTAGCTCACACACAATGTTTGTATGATCTGCAAATATTTGTTACGGAGTTTGGGTAATTTGTATGTACAAAATGTATATATTTAAAAAAAAAAGTCTATAATTATTCTAGTCAATCTAATTTTAGTAGAAAAATTTTGGAGTATACTCTATTTTTTTTTGTTGAAGAGTGGCCAAACGAGCAGCCCAGATGGGCGGATCACCTGATGGAAGTGACTACCTCTGCCGCTACTGTTCTGAGTGCTGTGGGTTTGATCCCTACATTGGACAACACTTTGTGTGATCCACTGATACAAAATCGCTCCTAGAAGCCTGTGTATGCTTCAGCTCTTGAATCTAAATGGGGAAACGGGGATCCCACTACAAATATAGATTGTGTGATCCATAAATTGTTGTTCTGAGTCTGGATGTTCTTTGTGTCCTTTTTACGACTGTTTGTATGTACTTCTTCTGAAGCTTTATGTTTTACAGGTTCAACGACCTACCGAAAGCTGTGCAAGCAAAATTCGATGTAGCAATGAATGCCATTAAAGATATTAGAGAAGAAGGAAAGGATCTCTTCAAACGGCAGAAGTTTAAAAGAGCGATCAAGAGTTATGAACACGCTATATCTATAATAAGACTGACTGAGGCAGAGAATGAAGCAGAAGAAGCAGAAATAAGAAACATAAAAGTTAAAATTTTTGTTAACTTAGCCGTTTGTTACTACAAAATTGATAAACCGAAGCATGTTATTACGATGTGTGAGAACATTGATAGATACATTGACATCAATACACATTGTAAAGGTCTATTTTACTATGGAAGAGCATACGAAATGCAAGGTAAAGTAGAAGACGCGATAAAATACTACAAGAAAGCTTTAAAATTGGAACCGAAGAACAAAGAAATCGGGGCAACGTTGTCTCAGTTGGATGAAAGGACAAAAAAATCGGTTGCAAATGAGAAATTAATGTGGCAGAAAGTGTTTAATAAAGAAGATGTTAAAGAGAAAGCTGTATATGTTGTTGATGAGGATTTTAAAAGTAGTGTCCTTGAAATGTGTAACGATTTGTCTGATAGAAATGAGTATGCTAAGTTTGATTTACCCGTTGGATTGACTAAAGATGAAGTGGATTGTATCAAGTCATTAACAAGTCAATTCAAAGGTCTGGTTGTAAGTGAGGATGGTGAAGGAAAGAGAAAGAAAATATCCATAATTAAAACATTTACGGGTTAACTTTTTAGTATAACAACACAGAGTTTAACATCAGGACCACGCGTGGCCCATCGCGTTCATGGGTGGCGGTAGTCGCTTTCCATCAGGTGACCCGTCTGCTCGTTCGCCCCCTATTCTATAAACAACAATTGGGTTGTGACTGATCGAAATTTAAATAAAAAATCGCATCATTCAAATTTAAACAAGAAATTAAACTTCTAATGGTAAAAATAAGGAATGAATAGTTTTTTACAATTGAACGTGATGTGCATTGAAGTAGATTTTTTAAAGTTAATTACGACGACTGTTTGAGCCATCGTAATCATCAACATCATCATCAACAGCCTATACTAGTCCACTGCTGGACATAGGCCTCTCCTTAGAAAGGAGGTTTTTGGCCTACTATACCACGCTGGCCAGACGGGTTGGTATAGGGTTTGTTTCAAGTTTTCCTTCTCTTTGCAGTGCTGTTGTCCTGCTTAGTTTGCTCCCTTAGTCGGCTCTTACGACACCCACGGGATGAATTGGGGTGGTGACAATTTGTATTCTTAATCCGTCACCACACGGATCGTAAACTTTATCTAAATAAATCGTAAACTTTATCTAAATAAAAAAAACATTCTATGTTTTATCTCTGTGTGTTCCAAAATCATTGATCATAATATTGTGATGTAACTTTGGTAGCTTGTCCAAAGGACGCCCCCGAGTGTACTTATGGAACAAATTTCCTTATCCTGCGTTACACTTTTGCCCCCATTGAATAAAAAAAAATAACAAGCTTGAAGTGGATGAAAGCGAGACCGAAAAATATGTAACAAGACTTTTTTTCGACACTTCAGTTGGCGCGTCGACGCTCACATCTTTTTCATATTTCATATAAATAGCGAACGTCTACCAAAAAGCTACAGAACCTTCGTTCCGACCGGAGGTCCATAGACCCCTCACACATTTGTCACCGAACACCGTCTCGAGTACCAGTAGCCGGGAAACAAAGTGTAACCTTGAAATGAAGTCCCTGGTACCCTAGGAGGGTATCTGGCCTAAAAAAATCGATATATTTAAGTTTTTTTTGTTATTTTTGGAACGAAGTTCCTTATCGCGCGTTACACGCTCTGAGGCTATGAGAGCGAAACCGAAAAATGTGTAACAAGACTTGTTTTAGACACTTCTTGCTACACGTCTACCAAAAGCAAAGTCGGTCCATAGACCCCTTACGTCGTTTTTAATGTTTAACGTGGCATTGCAACACAAACCGGGTATAGCTAGTCTTTAATATAAAAAGTCTTTTGAGAGCTGATCCGAGAGACAAACATAGAATTTAAAGATACCTCTCTTATACAATATATAAAATATATGTTACAGTAACATAGCATTAGCTAATTTTTAAGAAAATCCTATTTTTGTTACTCATTGTATTAAAGTGTAGTTTTTTTTACTGTTGTAACCCTAGTCATTTGTTTTAAGTAAGTATTGTATAACGTAAGAACTCTGACGCATTTGTCTAACAAATGATCATAGACAGGGATATGAAATTTAGAATGCAATAATACAACTATGATTGGCCTCTTGGTCTAGTAGGAAGCGACCCTAACTGCTAAGCCATGTATCGTAGGTTCGATGCCCACTTACTTAATGACTGGGTGTAATTTATATATAATATGAATTTAGTAATATATAAGTATGGTTATCAGCCATCTGGTTACTATTGTACAGGCTCTGCCTAGTTTAGTATCACATGGAATCAGAGTAAAACTATTATAAGGACTCCTTGTTAGAAGTAAAAATTAAAAAATATCGATTGATTTAAATACATACGGTCTAAATAACCCTCCTTTTATCTTCGCCGTAGTCGGATAAATGGATAGAAGTCCTATTTGGGCCGATATTTAAAAAACACAACATTATAAGTGTTGAACATGAACCTATTTTTGTTACATATTAAGTGTTAGAATCTTTACTAGGTTTAAGATATGAGATTAAATTTTTGTTACTTTATGTCAAATCGTTTTTTTTCTTTAATCACCATCTATGTCATCATCATCATCATAATTATCAGCCTACCCATAAACCTATTTTACATTTGATTGAAAAATTGCCCATAAATTTGTAATCAAATAACTAGTAAAGGCCATTGTATGAATTTCCACCTTTTTTTTTTCCGTGCGGAAATCCCCTCGGATACTACCTGTCGGTGGCATGTCGGACTCGAACCGACTAAAACCGCACGCCGTCTCGGGTACTAATAGCCGGGGAACCAGGTATACCCTAGAAAGGAAGTCCCTGGTCCCCTGACATACCTCGGGCCATCTACAACAACAGGTAGACGACCCCCCCGTGTGGGAACCCCATGTTCCCTCTGCTCCCTGGAAGCGAGCGCGCTTCGCAACGCGCTCGCCGCCACCCCGGCCTGCTTCTGCTAGGGTGACAGATGGCCTCACCTGTCACCCCCAGGCCTGCGCTTATGGAGGAGTATGAATTTCCACCTAAGCAATTTCTACGCCTTCAGATATCGGTTACGTAGAAGTCAAGAGCTAAGCTCGATACTACAAAATTTATTTAGTGTTTTAGCTGGTTTCTTTTAGGATTTTTTAGACAAAGAAAAAAATGGGATAAGGAAAACAGATAGTGATATCATGGAACATGTACATTTCAGTTGAAAACAACCACAGTTACCCCTTTAGGGGTATATATATTATATTCTGTGGTTGAAAAGCTGGACTGAGACTACAGAAGCATCAGAAAAGGCAGTGGTCGTGTATCCGTTCCGAGGCAATTTATTACAAGGAGTATGTAAACAAAAATAATACCAAAAGACACGAAGTAAGGCGTTGAAAAGTAAAAAAGATTTAAAAAAACGAGTGTGCTTTAGACCACACGACTGAAGTAAAACTTCTTGACTAAGAGAGAAAGAAAATGTATGCTCGCACCTCTCTCCCTTGCCTATTGTAATATACGAAACGTAACCCTCTCTCTTCCTATCTTCACTCAATTATATCTCCATCTCAACTTCCGTTCGCCTCGTCCGATCACTCTTTTCGTAACGCTCTCGTCACTCATTCGTTAGCTTGCTCAAGGGTACGTAATGAAGTTTTACTTCAAAAATTGGTTAGGTTAACTTAATTATTGTGGAAAATTAATAGCTCTTGTTACATTTAATCGAATAATTATAAAAGCTAGAAATTCACTTTTCCGAATCACAAATTTACTCCTACGGATTACGGGAAAACTAGAGATAAAATATTGTACAACAATAATTTACTTTGACACAATGCGTCTTGTTATTGCTCTGATTTTTGGAGCAAAAGCGATAACAAGACGCACATGTCAACGTCAAAATGTGAATGACGTGACGTGTAGGTTCTCGCTCGGCCAGGTATCTTTTTTTGAAAACGTTTGCTAAATATCGCCATAAGTACGTTTAATACACAGTGTAATATTATCAATACATCGATTCGATAAGGGCATTATCGCCTATATTCCACGTCAGTAGTTTACATTCACAGGTAAATTTAATTCTCCATACATTACATTCGTACTGTGATAAAAGTTTAAAAATCAAATACAAAAGTGATTTCAATATCATATACCTGTGCCTTTTGTGGTATGCATTAATTAAAAAAGTTGCGAACTATTCCGTTTTCAAAATTATTTAAAGTTAGCGCTTTTTTCAGATAGGAAAATGTTGCGGTTTTTATTTTTCGCTGCGTTCCTGCAGTGTACGATATCCCAACAATATCAGCAGAAAGTAGCACCTGGAGTACCTCCTCAAAACTATCAAGTAAGTGAAAGAGAACAAAGTTAAAATTATATAGAGTATATTTATCAATAGAAAAAGACAAAGTTATAAGAGAGTGACAGGACCTCTATTTCTCTTTATTAAATAAACTTTAGGGACTCTTGCCTTCAAATGTAAGAACACTATAGTCTGTAATTGTTGTTATAGTTTTAAAACATCTTGTAGATGATTGATATAATAGTGAATATTTTCAAATGTACAGTAATTTAAGTTTTTAGTTATCAGTGAAAAACTTGTTTTTCTCTCATAGCGTCATGCTAAACAGTGCTATATATACATATTGGCTTTAGGTTGTATTTTTTCTAGATATTTATTAGGACTTTGTGTCAGGTTATCGAGTTATGTGCACAAGAAAGTAATAAATGAGATTACAAAACATTTCCACAATTTAATAAAATATTTTATATAAGTTTATGACACAATTATTGTTATGTTATCCCCTCTTTACTCCTGCATTTAAATATGGAATTGGGAAATTCTTTATTCATTCAGAAGGGTTATACTTCCCGATTGATTCCATTCATTGATTTGATTGACTGCCTTTTTGGTGCAGTGGTAGGGTATGAAACTGTTGTGCTGAGTTCTTGTGTTCCCTTCCCAGGTCAGACTTTTTGTATGATCTGCAAATATTCGTTTTGGGGTTTGGGTGTTTTCTATGTATAATATGTATGTACTACAAAACCAAAGTAAAAAGTATTTAATCAGTCAGTTTAGTTTACATAGTACAAGCTCTGCTTAGTTTGAAACAAGATGGCATTCTGTGTTAGACGTCCAAAATATTGTTATTATTCAAAGATAAACATACCACCCTGAATTCTTAATTCCTTAATTTTCCACCACTAGGGTGGTAAATTGTCGGTGTGGTGACAGATTAAGAATACAGAATGTCACCACGCTTATTCATCCCGTAGGTGTCATAAGAGCCGACTAAGGGAGCAAACTTACTTACTTAAACAAACCCTATACCAACTCGTCTGGCCAGTGTGGTATTGTAGGGCAAAACTTCCTTTCTAAGGAGAGGCCTATGTCCAGCAGTGGACTGTTATAGGCTGTTGATGCTGATGTAAATTAAGGAACATAGAATTCATTGATACTATTTAAAAAAAAAAGTTGTTATAGATAGTATATAGATAGATGTTTTTAGTTGACTTTATATTATCTATTGTTATGCCTAAATTGGTGACTCTTAGCTGTTGTTTCCCTAAATAAAATAATAATAAAAAAATAAAAACATAAATGTGTAATGGAGGGTGACGAGTGATAAAAGAAAATGGATTACGAAAACTCGTTGCACCAACCCCAAATATATTTTTGAAATGTGGAAGGAGTAGATGATTGCATGTACACAGGTTTTAGACTTCTTAAGCCAACCTGTCTTTATTATTAAACAAAAAACACAATATGTTAGCCTCATTTTTTTTAATTCTTTTCAGGGTTCTGTACCTCAAAAGGAAAATACGGAACCCTTACAGGACCTAATTTTATAAATATGGTTTTAATTTCAACTCGATACCTCCACGCGATCCCGATATAAAGGGATCTTGTCACAGACAGACGGACAACAAAGTGATCGTATATGGGTTTCGGTTTTTTCCTTTTAAGGTATGGAACCCTAGAATCGAACGATAAATTCATACCTTGTATTAAGCAATAACTAAATTGTTTATAGTATTATAATAATTTCGCTGACGTAGCTTCTGAAGAATGCTTGTGTTTCTACTTACTTACACATAATTTGTTTAATCACGTTTGTTAATATCGTATTACCAGCATCTGTGTGTACTAGAGATTGCCTGACGATCGAATGACCTTGACTTGAACTGCCACTGTTAAGCGGTTGATCGACGTACGAGCCTATACCGCGGTTTTACTCGCGGTTCGTTAGTGCTGATGCTGATCGATCAGCGAGCAAAACAGTAGCGCCTGAATTAGGGACTTCCTTTCTAGGGTAATACCTGGTTCCCGAGACGGCGTGCGGTTTTAGTCGGTTCGAGTCCGACATGCCACCGATAGGTGCGTTTCTGGCGTAGGGGCGTTTCTGCACGGAAAAAAAAGGGTAACAGTAACATGTCTTGGACCGAATCCGAAGCTTGGTGTTATCTAGACATTGCCTATTGAGAAACTGTGAAAAAAATTACGAAAACTCCCTAAAGATTGGGTTAAATTTAAAGTTTAATCAATTAAAGTTTATACTAATCTTCAACTCTGGAGCCGGTTCTCATGCTTTCTTTAACCTTTTTTTTCTTGGTTATATCCGAGTTCGGTTCATATTTTTTTGCAATCGCTAAGAGTTTATTATATGCTGCAAGCCGATCTCCTTTGTTTTTATACTCGCTTGATTTAGTTTGCCATAGACAGGGACACTCGAAAGCTATGTATAAATTCTATTATAAAATCGTGTCTGTGAGTTCGTAGATCCATTGTAATTTAAAAAAAAATAGTTAAAAAAAACTGAAAAACACGCTTTTTATAGAAAACCAAACTAAAATAGAAGATAAATTTTAAAAATAAGCGTTGGGTCCCTGTTGTCAATAGTAAAAAGCACCCCACCCCAGTGTTTTTTTGTTTTTTTAAACTATTATTTTTAATATATTTTTTTAAATTAGTGTATTGTCATCGGTCCTCGATATATCTACAAAGTTTGAACGAATTCTGACCGTTTAAAGTCAGTCAAAATCACGCTCAAAGGAGTCGGTTACAAACATACAAACAAACATACAAGTGAAGCTAACATAAAGCGTGTAAAAAAAATGACTCGGACGGAACACGTCCCTCTGTAGCGCTGTCGTCGGGAACGACGGCTTGGCTCGCCAGCCGTGATCGACTCGCGGTTTTGGCGAGCCGAGAAAAAAATATAGCAAACATGACGAGCGGCGAGCCAGGATCGTCGGTATTTAAAATCGCGGTTTTGCAATGATACACCGGCGAGCCATGAAACCGCGGTTTTACTCGCTCGTCGACTTTTGTACTATGACAGAACAAAATATATACTGGAGAGCTATAGTACATGTAGATTACAACAACAGCAACAGCTATAGATAAGTAAGCCATCTGGCATAAGTCATACATAATGATCTTTTTAATAAAATATTAACTATTTGAATAATGATGATAAAATGTATTCTGTACGTTCTTAATTGTTTTTGTTTTTTAACACAACGTCATCTCGTTTCAAACTAAGCACAGCTTCAACTATGGAAGCTAGATTGACTGTTAGATTACTTATATACTTTTTCTTTTGTAAATACATTTATATTATACATAGAAAACACTCAAACTTCCAAACTAATATTTGCAGAGTATACAAATATTTAATCCGACCCGGGAATCGAACCCGAGGCCTCAGAACAGCAGTCGCATACGCTACCACTGCGCCACCGAGGCAGTCAGCATTTCTGCATGATGACGAGTGTGAAATTAGTTTGTTATCGGAAAATTATTTAATTAAGATATTAATACTTTAAGAACATAATCATTATTACACACAATCATTTTTTTAAATTGTATGTATTTATTAGACAGTCGTCCCACATAAAAAATCGAAGTTCAGCTGTATCTTAATAGACTTAAAGTCGACCCCAACCTAATTTCGGAAAAAGGCTCATAGGAAGAAGTATTTTTAGGGTTCCGTACCTCAAAAGGTAAAAAAGGAACCCTTATAAGATCACTTTCTTGTCCGTGTGTCACCACCGATTTCCTCAGGAACGAGTAGACCTAGCAAGTTGAAATTTACACCAGATACTGACAAATTTGTAAGTACCAAAATTTACCTTAATTTTAAACTTTTAAGGAATAATTCCAAAAAATAAAATAGTTGAAAATTAAGATAAATTTTACTTACAAAATTTAACGTCGTAACGTAGTAACGGAACCCTCGGCCTTCGACTCGTACCTAACCAGTTTTTTTTAAAGTAACCTTAAAAAAATTAACCCCAACCTGATGGTAACAATCTGTATTCTTCATTCCTTAATTTTCCTCTTAAAGGAGAAGAAATATGAAGAAGACAGTATGTGCCCAAATTAAATCCAGAGTTCTTTTAAAAACAACCAAATAAAGAAACTCCCTTTTTGTAGTTGGTTCACAATCTACTTTGATACGAGCGAAACCGCCATAACAGTCCTTAGTTCAGAGTCCATATCACAATATATTGTAATACAGTGCTGTTGTTCCAGAATTATCAGCAGCCCCCACCTCCGCCTCCTCCACAGCAGGTATGAAAATCATACTGTTTTAGTTTTTATAGCAATAAGTTGACAGAAATATATAAAAGTGAGAGAAAGCTCAAATATCAGTACTATCGACTCTACATCATCAGCATCAACAGCCGTTAGTAGTCTACTGCTGGACATAGGCCTTTCCTTAGAGAGGAGGTTTTGGGCTTCTATACTACGCTGGCCAGATGGGTTGGTATAGGGTTTGTATCAAGTTTTCCATCTCTTTACAGTGCTGTTGTCCTCCGTAGTTTGCTCCCTTAGTCGGCGGATGAATAGGGGTTATGACACTACGTATTCTTAATCCGTCACCACACGGACAGTTTGCTACAGTTCACTACAAAAATAGTTGTAAGCTGGCAACATTTAATTAAGTGGTCAGTTGATTAGGAGAGCCTTGCTTCGGCACAAATGTACCGACTCTATCAAAGTGATACCACGGCTTTTAAAAGTTGGGTTTAAAAGGAAGTTACCATAATCAACAGAGGGACACAGAGACGCCCTTGTGACTCTTGAGTTGCAGGTGGCATTAGACGCCGGTAATTAGTTACTATCAGCGCCCCCCCCCCTCCACTACTATAAAAAAAACAGTTGCACTCCGGGAGTGCCGACGGAAGTAAAAAGTTATATACAGAAGTGTCGGTAACGGTAACAGTGACGCCATTTCAATTTTTTTTCCCATATCAAGAAATGTGTTTTTTGTTAAACCATAAAATACATTATTGTGTTTGTTGTTTCAAAAATGCCCGCCGCACCTAAAGAAGTTTTCACTTAAAAATCCCTGTCTTAGTGGTCTCTCCATGACAGAACTGACATTTTCATGCGCGACCTCCTCTTTACTCAACTACTGCAGTCCCTTTTCCAATTGCGGTATCTCTTACAGCTCTCTCATCTCTTATCCTTTTTTCTGCCCGAAAGCTTTTCCTTTTCTAACGTGGTCAAAATCCTTTGCTATGTTACGCATTATGCCGACGGAAAGGGGCAAACAATAATAAATTCCCCTAGAGGTGTCCTTTAAGCTCTATTTTCAGACTTTCTATTACCACACAAATTCTAACAGTATTATAAAAAATATTGTTCCTTCTAAATATAAAAAATCACTTCCAGCAGCCACAATACCAGCAGCAACAACAGTACCAACCCCCTCCGCAACAACAACAGCAACAGCAGCAATACCAACAAATGCCACCTCCCCAACAACAACAACCACCTCAACAGCAGTTTGCTCAACAACCACCACCGAACTACCAGCAACAGCCTCCCCAACAACAACAACAAGGTCATGGACACAATCATCAGGGTGAGTACTGTCTTCTGAAGCTTCATAAGTTTCAAAGAGTTTTATAAAAATAAAAAACTTTACTGCCATAGAAAAAATATAGACTTATATTATTACAGACCTTGTTAATGACATTTCAAGTTTGATTTGACTTGATTTCAAGTAATGAGTGTAATGTACCTCCATCACAAAGGGAGGATTCTACAACCAGGCAAGGTCCTAACCAAAGGCTTATGTTGGCAAATTCTATTTACTGGCTCGAGAACTTTCATTGCGCGATTTAGGTTTTTTTCAATTTACGTAAATTTTTCTAAATACTTTTTTGATGAAAACTTTATGCTGAAATTACAAAAACAAAACATAATTATCCGAATGGAACAGCCGTTAACGAGTTATGCGCTGACATACATTCGACAACTGTTTTTTTTTAAATAATTGATAATACAGAAAATGTTTAATTGTTACAGACCCTCAGCTGTTAAACCCCGCCAACATTGCACAAGAAAGAGAGTGAGTACCAATTAAAAAATTATATAATAATTATATACCGTACCCGTCTGGCCTGCGTGCCTGGCCTTTCTAAGGAGAGGCTTATGTCCAGCAGTGGACTATTAAAGCCTGTTGATGATGATGATATATTGACTGGCTTATTGTTCTAGTGGTTACGAATCTGTCAGCTAAACCAGAGGTCGTGGGTTCGATTCCCACCCGGCACGAATATTTGTGTGATGAGCACGATCAATTGTTCTGTGTCTGGATGTAATTTATTTATAAAATGTGTGTATTTAGAAATATATTTAGTGTGTTTATTGAGAAATAAATGTGTTCGGTTGCTTGCCATCAGACTTGTCATTTATTACGTGTAAGTGGAAGTTTAACTGTAATCAACAAATTGTGACCATTAAATATACCTCTATCTATCCTTTTGAGGATAAAAGTCGTGAGTGTAAATATAATAATTAAAAGTAGGTATCGCCTCGCAATCCAATTTAGACCTTTTTAATCGTTTAAAAGTTTCGGTAACACAACGGAACTGTTCCAAAAATGACAGCAAATACAACCGCGATTGCTGCTAGGTTTTTATTGCTCCTTGTTAGTATTGTTTAAAGGCGGTTCAACTTTTTTTAAGAAGGATTTTCTTGTAAATGTCTAATATCATTGACCAGTGTAATTTGAACTGTCATCATTCTCATGCACATCACATAACATCAACAGCCTTTAATAGTCCACTGCTGAACACAGGTCTCGCCTTAGAAAGGAGGTTTTGGTCTACTATACCACGCTGGCCAGACGGGTTGGTATAGGATTTGTGTCAAGTTTTCCTTCTCTCTGTAGTGCTGTTGTGCTGCGTGGTTTGCTCCCTTGGTCGCCTCTTACGACACCCACGGGATGAATAGGGGTGGTGACACTCTGTATTCTTAATCCGTCACCACACGGACCCATTCTCATTCAGTCATCTTCAACTGTACCATTAAAATATTGATGGAACCGCAATAAGTCTAATTTAGAGTCTAATCTAATCCAGAGAGTGGCCATGAGTTTGTTTGCCCTATCTTCTCATAAGGCTCAACCCCTTCGAAACGGGCGGTTGTAGATCGGCACAGCCATATCATAGATTTTGTATAAGTTTTCTTTTTGTTAAATTTATTTGACAAAACAGAGATTGTTGCTATTGTGTGTGTTGATCTATGACTTTAGAGTCTACATAAAATACGATTTTAAACAATTTAAAAAAGAGTTGAGTGTATATACAAATATAAAGTTTTTTTTTTCTTTAAAAAGACAAATCCCGCATTAGGAATATATTCCTGTGTCGCGGGGGACTTTACAAACATACATGAAACTGACACAAAGAACACCCAGACTCAGAACAACAATTTGTAGATCACACAAAGTGTCGTCCCATGTGGGGTTTGAACCCACAACACTCGGCGTAGTAGACCACTTAAACCACTACGCCATCCGTGCAGTCAGTGCAGCTACGCCATCAGTGCAGTTGGTTTGTGTACACTTCAAAAAAACACAATTTTGACACAATATACAACCAGCTTCATAGATTGTCTTTATTTATTTTTCGGGTTAGTTTTGTTCCTCATTCCTCATCAATACAAGCACAATGTGTCACAGCAAAGTGTGGCAGGGTGCAACTGGAGTATAATAAATTTTTACACATTCCAGCCATATTCAAGAGCATATGGAAGTGCCCATAGACACGTCCAAGATGTCGGAGCAGGAGCTTCAGTTCCATTACTTCAAGATGCACGACGCTGATAATAACAATAAACTTGATGGGTGTGAGCTCATAAAGTCTCTTATACATTGGCACGGTAAGTCCTCCTTATGGTTTCTTATATTTTTTATAAAGTACAGGTGTTAAAGAAAAGTATGGTCACTGTTTAAAATCGTAAACTAAATACCGAAAATTTCTTACAGTTTGAGGTAAATTCGTGAATTTAGTATAGGAATATTCGTGATTCGAGGTGCCCGTTGGTCTTGTGGTTAGTGACCCTGACTGCAACCCAGAACAAATACTTGTGTGATGAGCGCGATCATTTGTTCTGTGTTTGGATGTAAAATATCTATAATATGTATGTATTTAGAAAAATATAAGTATGTTTATCAGCAGTCTGGTTACCATAGTACAGGCTCTGCCTAGTTTGGCATTAGACTGCCAGTGATAATCAGAGGTAATCAGCTCATAGTGAAGTGGTATGTCGGAATCGAACCGACTAAAACCACACGGTGTTTCACCACGTGTCAGTAGACTCACTTGCTTGGGGGTTGGTTAAACCCTAGGAACGAAGTCCCCGAACACGCCGACAAGCCTTGGCCGCCATAGGCAGTCAAACTCCATTGCAGCCAGTGCAAAGAGGACCTTGTTGAGAAAAGGATTAAGTTTTCTCATGTAAATAAAATTGAAATTATTAATTTAAAATAATATGTCTTAGAAATGTAAATATTTTAAAATTCTACTTTTTCATGTAGTAAATAATGATTTGCATTATTTATTTTTTACAGTTTGACCACACTTTTCTGTAACACTCCATTTAATATAATAAATTAAGGGGACCCAAACAACATTAAAAATTAGATAGGACTTAATTTATATTTGAATTTAGAAATCTAGTTTAATTTTTAGTACCACAACTTGATGCTATGAAAAAAAAGGTTATCACCCATTACATACTACAATTATTTATATCAGAATTAATTTTTCTTTCTAATATTTAAATTGAGAACTTTGTTCAAATTGTAGCTTTTTTTCTTTGAACGAAGTTGAACTTTGTCAAAATTGCAAAAATATATATATAATCCTTTTGGGAGGATGAGTGGTCACTAGTATAATGGCATTTTTTTAGATGCTCATGTTATTTTTTTTCTTTTTATTTTATAATTATGGTTCTGTGGTAGAAATGGTGATGGTGTATTTATAGCTAGCATATAACTTATATATTTCCTATTTCGAAATATTCTGTTTCTACTTGATTATTACAAGAATTTGAGAATCTTGAAAATAATAAAAATACTAAATTCAAATATTATATTGGGAAGTATACTCGTATATGCTTCGAATCTTGGGTTGTCATTTTTGTAATTTATTGCGTCACTGAGTAATTTGCTGAAGTGTCACAAAATTATTACAAAACATTACATTAAATATATTTATATCTGTATATAAATATCTGACTGTGTGTGTTTGTCTTTCTATGTGTGTCGTCGTTGCCGCTTGGATAATCTGCCGCATCGCAATATGTCATCATAATGGTAATCACGGAAATCATCATCATTTAACGGGAAAAATATCCATTGTTGTTAATATTTAATACTTATTTAACTTATTTAAACAAATTTCTTCGTTATTTTTTCTTCTATACTTCTACTACACAATTTAAAAAAAATCGCGTAATAATTTGACATTTAAAAACCCACCATCATGAAATTATTTACCGCCAAAATTTGACACATTCCATGACACATTAATTTTTTAAAGTAGAGCAGGGACACAAACAAGAAGCGCAGCCCGGTACACCGCCGGTAGGTGAAAAAATATTTGCTGATGATGAGTTGGTGAATTTAATAGATCCAATTTTGAGTATGGACGATCATAATTCTGATGGGTATATAGATTATCCTGAGTTTGTGAGAGCTCAGCAGAAGAGTCAACAGAAACAGGGACAGAATTAGATAGCTATTAGTAAGTATAGTGATGGGGGTTAGGTAGCTTTGGGGAGTATCAAGTATAATTTTTCAGTGGGGTAGTGCCCCTGCCAAGTCGGGAAACAAAAAGACATAAGCGCACACCCGTATTATCTTTTCTAAGATATTTTCGTTCCCTCTGCAACTACATTGTAAATAATGTTAAGGGCCTGAATGTTCAGTGATATAGAAATGTAAATTCCCAAATTTAATTCAATTTGAATCTGTAGCTAAAAAATGCAAGTTATAGATAAGATCCCATAAAAAATATAACAAGAAATAAACTGAAGCCTCGCAACGTAGTTTATTCTAAAGCAAAAGTTATGAGTTCTAATAGTTGTCTAATTATTTAACTAACAATTTTAGAGAGCTTATCAATATTAGACATCTTTATTTTTTATCAAATAGAATAACAGAAGAAAAATAATTCTATAGGAAATAATAGGCCTAGGCCTTAATAATTGCAACCCCGTTTTTAAAAGTCTTGCAACTCTTGAAAATGATTTTAAAGGGTACCTATCTATGAAGAGTTAACGTGCCAAAATTAGATTTGGCTTTTGTAAGTAATTAGTGAGTCCTATTTTGCTTTTAAATAAAAACATGAATGTAAATGTACTCAACACCATAACGTAAGGAATTTATTTATTAAATTAAATATATATACCACATTTAAGAAACTACAATCGTGCTTAAAAATATGTTTTAAAACGAGACCAGTAATCCACAATGCTATGGTATGCTTTTCTTTATTGCTGTTGGCTCTAAGAGAGCTGTCGAGCTGGCAGCACTCAAACAAATATTGGTGTTGCCAACTGGTAACTCCTTAATATCAGGTTGCCCTTGTGCTGGTCCATTTTTTACTTGACTGTGTTTGCATTTTTAATTTCATAACAGTGTAAAAATTTCTAAACTGAGCCTTTTTCTATCTACCCCCATTCACTATAAAAACATTCCGAAAGTCAAAATGTACTGATTGAGATTTTATAAAAAAAATACTTTTTGAAAATATTTTTAAATATAAACTACTCGTAGATTTTTTATGTAATAAAAAAAAAACAAATTGTTAAGTCTAAGAAGAATTTCTTGTTATACTTACGAAAGTCGTAAGTGTGTATGTGGATTTAAAGAATATAATTTTTTTCTGACACATCGGTACAGTAGTGACACCTGTGTTCTGTATTCACTAACTCATTACAATTTTTTTGTTTGAATTATACAAATATTCTTTTTGGTAATGAATTTGCCATCCCTATCGTATGAAATTAAAAACCTATTTCTTGTAGCGAACTATGCTTTAAAATTGTGTTTTTTCTTAACTTAGTGCGAACTAAATCGAAAAATACTTAATAAATAATTTATAAAAACTGTATATTTTACGGAATCTGTATATTTTGTTTTTGTTTTTAACTGCCTAAATGTGGGCTTCCAAGTTGTTAAGTAATTAAAACTATTCTCAAACTCGAATTTAATCTTCATATATCCTATTATTCTTTTCCTATAAATAAATTATAATTAAGTTTAAAACTATAAATAAGTTACTAAAAAGACCGCCATTTAAAAAAAAAAAATTATTATTTACCCTATAGTTTCTTTTTAATTAATTACTTATATATATCGTTACCTTGCATAAATAGTCTCAAACATAATCTAGATAATAATTCAAATTAAAGTATCTTAAAACTTTAACAGTCCCCATAACTTTTTCTATTTATTAGATCCTTGTCTACAAAAAAAACACTAACTAATTTGAAGAGTTCGTAGTCCGAGGGCCTGTAGAGTGAGTAACACAGGGTTGGTGTGCGTCATAAGGTACCATGGCTGTACACGTACCACATACGGTACGCCGGACTGTTAACGTGTTCATTTATCTTTCACTATCTCAATTTTATAACAAGGTCGGCGCAATGTATAACATTGCAAAGGAATTTGATTTCTCTTCTGGTTATAAACCAGCCGACTTCCTAACGCCCTCTCTTACTGTAAATGTACTCGTTTTTAGATACGACAAAAGTAAATTTTGGTAAAAATAACGGATAGGAAGATTCTCGCACTCCGGTCATTGGTAAATAGAAGAACATCGGGGTGGTTTTTAGTCGGTAAGAGTCCGACAGACCCCTTTGGTCCTCGCCCCGACAATAGGCGAAGGACATCCATAAGGATCTTCTTACCCGTTAAAAAAGGTTAAGATTGCGATGGCTCGAAAGACCAGGGTTGTGTATCGTCCTGTGATTGGTGACACCACTAGGGCAGGAACATCACATCCCTATTAGACTGATCAATGAAGTATATAATACTTTTTATTTTTATAATTATAGTCTGTTGCTTTTCAAAGCGACCACAGTTTAAAAATAAATGTTTAAAATCGTTTCTCGCAAATATGAATAGAGACAATAAGAATAAACAATACATTTACAATATGTTTATTATAGTAAAATAAAAAAAAACATTCGTTCTTTTTTTAGACTTGTTTGACTATTTATCCAACGTTGCGATGTATATGTTTTTCTATTTATGTGCGTCAATATCTCAAATGAGTTCGAATATTTTTATTTTCTTGATATATTTAATGTATTTTTGTTTTTATTTATATTGACAAAATCACAGCTATTGGTTTGTCAAAGACAAAAAGAATGTGAATGCATTTAAGTAACAATTTATTTTTCATTTTGTTGTATGGCAAGCCTGAAATACCGAACAGATGAATAATAATTGGTACAGTCAACGCCAAGTAGTATATTCACTCGCGGTGTCCAAACTTTAAAATTGCTTTATAAATTATACAGAAACGGTAAATTGTATTTTAAAACTTTTATATTTTATTGAAAAATATACATTAGATAAGTGAGAACACTTGCATTGTATCTTAGTTATATGTCTGTATCTCGTATAAATATAATAAACTATGTTTATTTTTTACAAATTGGTATAAATAATTTAAAATTATAACAGTGACAAAGTGTTTTTTTAATATTGTTTCAACTTAATAAGTTACAGAAACCGCGAGTAGATATACACTTTTGTATAAGTTTAATGTTAGTCATATATGTGTATTTATAATAAGATTAATTTACTGTATTCTTCAACAACATCAAATTTATATATCTTAAAACAGTCAATTCCAAATTATACTGCCATAATTTGTGTAATTAAGCATGACTTTTATTTTATTTGACACATGATTATGCATTAATTAAAGATACAACCTCCACATGTGTTAAATCCGAACTCGTTACAGGACAAAAGTAAAAACAAAAAAACCTAAAACTATATTTTTTATTTCAAAACGATAATAAATTAATTAAATTGATGAAAAGCTTAAATACTATCATCACGTGACAGAAAACACAAACCATTACGTCATTGACCTATCAGCAAGTTAACAGCTGTCATTTTTAGTTTATATTAAACTGTTTAATACTTGAACATCTTTAACGTTGACGTTAATATTGTTTTACACAACAATTTAAAATTAACCTTATTTTATTTTCATGTCAATGTAGATTTATTGTATTTTTTAAACATTGAGTTTAGTACAGAGAAGAAGAGAAACTAAAACTGCAAATTCAGGCATGCAATTTATTCAAACATAGACCAACAAATACCTAAATGTCAATTAATTAAAAGATGTGGTTCATTATCTTTCTGATTCTAGAACCACCTTCTAAAAACAATAACAACATTTGATTTAACTTTAATAAAGTGGCATTTAAGTACATGCGCTTACATGCACATTATATGCAGTATAATTTGTATTTAATTTCACAAAATTGTTATTTCATTATTTCACGATTTCTTTGTACACTGTGAATGTATTTTTTTTCTTAAATGTTTTAAAATCAATTTATATTTATATCTAACTGTACTTGTCTTTAAAAGTTGATGAATTAATATTCTCATGTAAATTCTGGCTTTAAAACTTAAGTTTAGATCTGTTCCCTTATTAATATCTAAATTTTGTTTTTTTTTTAATTTTTTCTTGTTTTAATTTCCAATGGTTGTGTAAGTAAAAACTTATCTAATTCTCATTTAGTTGTCAATAAATTTATATTGAGATATTTGCGGTTTTATTTGTAGTAGCTATATTTGAAACTAATATTAAAAATAAATATAATTTAAAGCTTTAAATTTAGTGACCTTTGGTTCTCTGTCAACATTTTTTCTGTGCCCATTGAATTCCCACTTGAATTAAATTCCTTCTACATTCTAGAACATCCTCGAACTCTGAAATGAGCTGCTGCAGGTGGTCAGCCCAATGTTTCCCAATTTACATAAATAAGACAATTCAATAAACTTATTAATTATAATGTGAAAATTCAATAAAAAACACAAACAGCAATGTTTCTACTGAAGGAATTTCCTGGGTAGACGTTAAATGTTTGTTGACTTTTAATATATTTTATTGATGTTTCATGATTCATCTGTGTAGATTCAATTTCTAAGATATCTTATAAATTTTAATGATGCTTTTTACCAACATTCTTGATAGTTATAACTTTTAACTACGTTCATTCAATCGCCTATCGAGCGACTGCACAATATTTGCACGTTCACAAATAGGTATATGCAAATAGCCAGTTAGCCCCACAGCACGCCTCCTTGATTAATATTTTAGGTAAGTAATTAGTATATAAAGCCATTATACCAATTAATAAGGATGAGAATAAAAATTACGGTCAAACATCTAACGTTTCCTACTCCCAAGAGGACTAACCATTTATATTAGTCTACTTTATACTTAATTCTGATAAATTGTCAAGGTTATATCCTAACTCAAAATACATCTTGTGTACATCACAAATTTTTACTTAAATTGCAAATTGTCTACAAACCGATTTTTTTGTAATACTTTTAATATATTTTGGCTATTAAATGAGTGACAGGTGAAGTTTCATTTTCGCGGTAAAATTTGACATGTTACAGGGTTGTCAGTAAAAAAAATACGTTTTACAGAGCAATCAAAAGAAAATGTTGAGCTGATGAACGATGAAAATTTATCACATATTATTGATAAAGCTTTAATTAATTTGGACAAAGACAACGATGGTTATATTGATTGGACTGAATATAAGATAGGGATCCCTGAGCCCCAGCAATAGAAGAAAATCGTTCATATTTTGATACTGGCAAGGAAACGAAAATGGTTTGACTTTTTAATTTAGTTGTAATTAATTTAGTTTTTATTTCCTTTTCATGATATGGTAATTGTTTAATTTATTTATGGTGTTTAAAGCTACAAAAAATTGTATTGTTTTCTTCATACACGGTTTCGTATTAAGACATCTTCTTTCTAAGGTCTTTTTATTCTAAATTATAATGCTGTACAAAAAACATACATAAATTTGTTACTGTTCATATACAAATGTAAATCATAATCTAGGAAGCTTACTTTTTTCATAGAATTCATAAAATCACTTCTACCTCTATTTAAGCTCTAGCCTTTTTACTTCTTTTAATATTTTCTCTATTTAATAATCTCATCTAGTTCGCAATTAAAATCCTAAGTTGTTGTTCTCGAATTTTATTTGTATTATTGTTAAAAGTTATTTTAATCTAGAATATTTGTACCTTTGAATCTTTTAAAATTATTGTTTTATTTCTGAATATTGTGGGTGCCATTGTACATGAGATCATAAATAATTATTTTTTTTGAATTGTAAAAAATATTACTAGTAATTCTATAATTAAAATATCCTATATTGTATGTAGCAGTTAAATACAAGCTATATTTTAAGTATAGTTTGTTATCCTATGAAATATTACTTTATTTAATCTTGTTATTAATGAAACCAGCAGGTCTTGCGAGCGTAATTCATTAAATATTACATTTTTTGTCTCTTAATAGACTTTGTATACTATGTCAGGTCAACATAAATACTAAACTCGTATAGCTTCCTTAAGTCGATTTTACGTAATGTTTAATGTTTCTATGGATTGCCGCGCGTAATGTTTCACTGTCACTGTGACTGTCTGTGACACTTTTAAAACTTAACATTTAAAATCCAGGTAATCGAGCGACGCACTTTTGACAAGGCGACTTATGCACAGAGATAATATATAAATAGAGGAGAGAAGCGAGGCACGATCCGAGGACGTTGATGGAAAGAGAAAGAATACGGCGATTTACATGCGTCTTTCTCGCACCTCTTCGCTGATTCGTTGGCCCGAAGTGGTCGCTTCCTTCTTTCTCTTTCTACCGACGTGGCTATTCCTCTTACAGGCAATCCAATACCTTCTCCCTTCTATCTGTGTCATCTCTATGGACTTATGGCATTTACATAGTTTAGCCTAGCGGTTACCGGTTTGGGCTTCGCTAAAAAATGTTTTGTTGTTCTTCACCGAGTGATTACTATTCTGTAAAGTCGTGGTATGACTGCTATCAAGACGGTCCATTTGTCCTTTCCCAAGGATAAACGGGTAAATTAGTTGTATCCACAAATAGACACTAAGGCTCCGTACATTTTCAAATGGTTCGGTGACAGTTTGTTAAGTTTCAACATAAGTCGAACACAAGTTAAAGCTTGTCAAACTATAATAAACAAAATCTAAGGTATTAATTAGGTAGTAAGTTCATTGTGTTGATCTTTTAACATGTATGGTGTTAATTTGCCAAGTTGGGCATGATTGGAATTCATATAGATTTTATCTCACACATAGACAACGTTCATGGTTTTTGTAGTTTCATTTATTTCATCTTGACTGTTGGTATTAAAAATAGTGTGTTGTAATATTACATACAACCATTCACACCGTTAAAAGACAACGAGTGAGTTTTTTCATTACGACAGGTACCAGAAAAAATAGTGCAGAAAATGTTACCTATACCACCTACACCGTTTAAAAGTAACGAGTGTTTTATTTGACAATTCGTTTTTAATCGATTATTTTCATATTTTTGTGTATCACCTGTCAAAACCATGACTATGACATGAGACAGAATTGTATGGCGTGGAATAAGCTTTAATCAAGGAAAGGGTAAGTTTTTTTTTTCGTTTGTTTATTGATAACTTATAATTATTTTATACCAATGTGATTTCTTGGTAGTGTACTAAGATAGTTCCCGTTATACGGCCTTGATCGCCTTAGCCATTGGCCCAGCACAATGTTGAAATACTAATGGTCCTTTGTGTCACCTAGGCCTGGCTTGCCTCACTTAGTACAAAATGTAATTATATAGAACGGCTGTTTATTAGTGGCTCATGCAGTATGTAATTCTGATTCCGTGGCACTTAAAAGGAGAACTAAGCTTCATTATTTGTTATGTAGCGTCGTGATTTTGCGATAAGGAACTAAAGTGTTTATGAAGCTGTGATGAGCGCCCACGATGCTACAGTCAGGCATTACCCCCTTATATATGACCACTCTAAGGCTCGGTAATATTTTTACAAAACACTGCTGTTTGTTGTAATAACATTTTCATGAGAACAAAAAAGGGGTCATTATTGATTTTTTTGCTCATGGTACTTTATCTTACACAAATGCAGGAAATCTGTAAATATTTAAACGAGGAAAATGGACAGAGGAAAGATCAACAAAGGAATTAAGGAATTTAGTCGATTTTACTAAATGTTCGACACGGCCGACTTTTCTGCAATACCAAAATTGTTACAAAAATATATTTACATAAATATCTCTATTTACACCATATACATTGTTATAGAATTAAATCTCTATAAGAGTATTCTATTTCATCAACAATAAGTTTGCACATCCCTAATCTAAGTTCATTTTTTTTTCAGGGCAAATCGACAAAGATCACGCGGTCTACCCAGACGATCAATTGGAAGAAGTACTGGCATTAGCTCTAAGTCACACCGACTTGAACGACGATGGTTATGTTGATTATACAGAATACAGATTACAAGATTATAAAGCTAAGAAGGCTAGACTTGAAAAAGAAACGCCAGGTCTTAAATAGGCTTTGAGTTCATAGACAAAAAACAATTTTCTTAATTTTACCATAGAATCGTAAAAGGGAATAAGCCATCAAGCTATCTTAAAAAAACTGTGTATTTTTTAAATGTTTTTTATTAAACGTATGCTTTGAACGAAATAAATAATCCAATAAAGTGTTCATCTGATATAAGTAACGTAATAAATAATTATGACTTCTCGAAAATAGACCAAAGGCCCGAGGATATAAGCTGTAAACTTCGCACTTCAGAACAGCACAAACTGTCTAAGTAGAGGCAAAATGATCAATGCGCCATTAATAATTAACAATGGACCTAATTTGTCATGTTGACATGCGATTGAAAGGTATAACCAAAAATATTAACTCCGACGTCATCAAGCTCAGAGGTGCTGGGACTATCGCACTTGGTGCGCCTTGCGACTGAAAAAGTCCTCTTCACCGCTTTTCCGTCAGTGTGTGACCGTTAGGCTGAAGTGAAGTTTACAGAGTTACATTTTTATTGCGACTAGACTTAACTTAATGGACTTAATGAAATGGTAGATTTGATTAACTCATGCTGTCGGTGTGTTCTTATCTATTTTTTGACTACAAAGCGGTCATCGTTCCTTAGTATCTATAGCTCTTCCTAGCTGCTAGCGCCGTGTAAATGATAACTCTACACTCTCTATAAAATTTATCAACTTTTACCTACACAGAGACAGCCCACTTTGTCTCTGCCCGCCATAGTTACCATTTGAAAAAAAAAAACAACAATATTTAATCTATCATTACGTTTTTAATTCCTCTTAAGAAAAATTGTTATTATTGTTTTTATAAATAAATCATATTATCATGATATAGAATACAGTTATTTTCTTGCCCCGTAGAAACATTAGAATCAATTGAAATAAAGTAAATCGAGCTTCGCTTGAATTAGAGCCATTGCCCTACCTATTTGAGGCATTCGTTCGAACATATCATATTATAGAAAGATGTTTTATTACATGCTACTACATTAGTTTGTTAACTTATTGCATGACCCATCCTGATAGTGAACCAGACTATACAATGAAAGTCTCCATGGTATATGTTTTAATAGTACTACTAACTACAACGGAGGTGATTAAACTCATAGTACCTGGGGATCTAGTGCAAGTTTATCAACTCGATACAGTGACCGTGTTTGGCGTTGTGATTGGCCCGCACCCAAATCTTCACCAATCGCAGCGTTAAACACGCTCGCCGTCGGACTATGGTCTTTTGCAATTATTTAGTTTTTCACTAATTAAGTATTAGGTAAACTAATCCTCTACGTATTTATTTGACTAGCCTTAGCCAGGTTAAAGGTATTTAGTAACCTTCGGTAATTTTTTCTTCTCTCAATCAATAGTATTTTATTTATTTATATGATTATTATTTTACTCTTGTTTATTATTTTACATTGTCAGAGGTATAGTTAGACACAGAGGGTAGGTATAAATTTTGTTTTTTTAATTAAATGACAGCTGTCAATAATGACAGTAATCAGAGTTAGTATATTTTGAAAAGAATAGTTCATAATTTTTGTATTATGTTGTAGAAGACAAAGAAGGAGATCCACTACAAAATTACGTTTATGGGGAGAATGAACTCAGTGAAATGGTGGATAATGCTTTGAAGCAAACCGATGTAAACAACGACGGTTTCATCGAATATCATGAGTTAAGACAAGCGTCAGCCGATTGAGATGAGCATACCCTTAAATTTTAACCTACTTTATAAGTGTTTTATCTCTTTAAGTTCCAATGTCAATATGTGTTACAACAACAACGTTTAGCTCAAGTTTGGAAGTAAATTGTAGCCTCCTGTCTGTCAGAACAACTGTCAATTTTGACAACTCAACAACTGACAACAAATTTTTATTTCATGAAGTAAAAAAAGAAGAAATATACTATCCATACAATATTACATGTCTCTAAACTCTGAAACAGTTGCTATTTAAGATGGATTTCTGCCTAAAAGTATTGCTGTTACTCCGATGTTAATTCACTGTGTCGTAAAACAAATCTGTTTCGATCGGACAACACGCTCCGCTTTTATTGCGCTTTTGAATTTTACTAGAAATTTCCTAGTATTCGATAGTCCGTACCAAACAACAAGAATTTTCCAGAATCAGTCACGCGTTACTTGCAGCGCTGTCCTCCACATTCCATACAATCCAACCATTTAATCCTATGGCGCAACAGTATCATCGACGCCTCTTTCTTCGAAGATAATACGAGGGTTTCCTGGTCTCACATGATAGAGGTCAATGTAGCCCCTTTATGACATCTTTAGTCTATTCTGACAAATTATAAACAATTGACATTAAAGACAGTTAATTTAATTTAAAAAAAAAAAATAACGAAAAAAAAGAATTGAGATAACCTTTAAGTTTGTTTTATTTATTTTTTAAATCCTGCTTTTGTCAAAAATCTTATAGATATACAAGGTAAGTACACACACACCACTCCGATTTCGCCACAGTCGATTTCGTAATTTATAGATGTATCAATTAAATGTTATTTTATTGTACCAATCAATATATTAAATAAACCACAAATATACCTTGTTGAAAAAGCAATTGTTTGTGATCGGGAAGCATACATATATACATATTATATTTATTGAAGAGGCGAATTCTCCTTGAAAATTGACCGAGAAACTTTATTTTTCGTACTATTTTATGAATGAGGGCTTTTTAGTGTATGTGGCCCCTCTGAAGTCAATAACTCACTGAAGTCGAGGCTGAAATGGTCTCGAACCGACTAAAAACACATGGTATTCCGGGACAAGTGGGTGTATTTGCAGGGGACGTGAGATACCCATGACCAGGAAAGGCCTGTAGGAACAACGGTCAGCTCAACCTACTACACTCTCTTGACCTAACCCATTCCCCACCTCCTTGGTCAGAATCGTATGAAAGAGAGCTGACATAAATGAAACAATTATTTCAAACAGCTTTTTTTATTTTGGCAACACTTCAGCGTATCTCAGTTGATGCGCTAATAAACCGTTAAGATTAAAATGTAGACAAGTGCGAGTCTGATTTGCATTCGGAGGGTTTTGCAAACAAACATAATTGTATTAGAATGTAAGGATTGTAAACGATAGCCCAGTGGTGTGTAAACTTATAACTTCGAAATGCCTGAACAGATTTAGATGTCTGTCATATTTTTAAATTGCTTACATCATAGAAATAAGAATTAATGAAAACCTACTACCCTCCCGAGTGTCACTTTTCTTAAAATGACAGAAAAGCAACAGATGTGTTTTAATTACTAACTTGTTATCAACCTATTCGCTTGATTTAAATAAAATACCAACAGTTTTACTTTTAACCATTTAGATTACACGGCTTTGAATCTTCAAATTATCACATAAAATGTGGCCGCAATAAGAAACTGACTGCACGGATGGCGTAGTGGTTTAAGCGGTCGCCACGCCGCTTCCTACTGCGCCGAGTGTTGTGGGTTCAAACCCCACATGGGACGACACTTTGTGTGATCCACAAATTGTTGTTCTGAGTCTGGGTGTTCTTTGTGTCCATTTCATGTATGTTTGTAAAGTCCCCCGCGACACAGGATTTATTCCTAATGCGGGCGTTGTCTTTTTAACAAAAAAAAAAAAAAAAAAAAAACAAAGTTAGGCTAAGTCTTGGCTTCTGGAGGTATCGTTCTTTTGCCGGTGAGGCACTTAGCTTTTGGGGCTTGAGTCGTACAGGAAAAGGGCAGCCGCGAGGTCCCCCATCTTATTTATAAACGCGGCACGATGAGGTTTGTGGTGAAGGAAAATAGAGAGCTGCGTTACAACGTGATTAAACAGATCTACTGCAACGTGATTAAACAATCTGCTTGTGGTGGCTGGTCGGCTTGTCAACTGTGGACGCATGGCGAGTAATAGTCATCTTCACTTTAACGGTTTTATTGTATCTTTGTACAAAATACTCGTTTTGAAAAAGTCAATACAGATTCTATTAACTTTTTTTTTTCATTTTTCATACATATTGGCGCCTCAAGATAAACAAAAAAAATGAACGCAGAAGATAAATTCTCATATTCATTTATCAAATATCATTTTCTACATTTATTCCTATTTTAGTTTATAAATTAAAAAAAAATACTGGTGTTCATTTGTTGTTTTTTTTTATATATTTTTAGACGACAGCGAGAAACAATTATTCACTGAGGTATACATTTATTCGGACGAAGATTTCAGTGCTGTGGTGGACGGTGCCTTGAACAGAACCGACTTTAATAATGATGGATATATCGAATATTATGAATATAGCAAACTCTAACTAATATGTTTCCATGACGCACGAAATTTTATTTTAAAAAAAGTCAAAAGAAGAAACCTATGGACTCTTGCCTGTTAGTGAGAGATAGAGTCCAGCTGTACCCTGTGTTCTCTATATGCTTATATCTCTATGATAGACTCAGTAAGTTACAAATACAGATAAAATATAAACGACAGGTAATTTCTTATAAATTGTGTACCTGTTGTTTTTCATTTTATGTCTTGAAACAAAGAGTAAAATACTATATAGTCATAATTTCTTGTCCTGTGAATGAAAAACAAGCATGACAAAAGATATTTCTAAGTAAAATATTATCTATGTAGACTCAACACGGTAATGCCAGTGCACAAATTGGTACGAACCTGTCAAACGTTTTTCGCGCCAAATAATCATTAAATATTGCAATATTTCTCGCTTACTTCAATTTCCTTACATTTTAGTCTTAGATTTTTATATAGATATAGTGAAGAATGATTGCTGATGTGATAATAAATAAAGAAAAGATTGTTTTTGACATGATTGACATGTTTCACTATAGTTGAATCAAAACTCCGGATTTTATGTTTCGGGGGTAAGATAGTTTTTTGTTCCAAACGAATCACAGAACAAAATGATTAAATACTAACGAACTTCTTATGCCATCTAATGAATGCTGTTTCTAAACACAAACTAAAGGTTATGAAATATTCATTTATATTTTTTTATATTTATTTTATAATAAACTTAAATAAAAAATAAAAACATGTTTTATTTTCATTGATACTACTTAACTAGTGAAAAGAATCTGGATATATAATTGTTTTCGATATGTGCAACAGATTAGGCTTGGCTCGGCAGTCTGACGATGAATTCAAGAACTTGGCAAACAAACAAGGGTATTTATTTATTTGTAATGAACTATTTTTTTACAATGCTCATTGATAATATTAATTACGTTACTTACGATCCAGATCTAGTGTTTTGTGCATTAAAGAAATAAAAAGAAAAAAATAGTTCCTTTAAAAAAAATGAATTCGTCTTATTTCGATATTTTAAAAAGAAATTACCTGATTAAAAAGGTGTCCATTCACAGTTGACCAATAATTAAAAAAAAACAAATGCGGCATATAAAGGGATTAAAATTAAACAGCTTGAATATAGGTAGGGGGTAAATTTTCACCTAGTCTGCTTGTCCTCAAATGGGGCTTAGTGTTTTTATGGTGTGGCGAGAATCAAAAATGCTTGTGGTGCTGGTCGGCTTCTGTACCCTGGACGTATGGCAAGTACATTGTAATGATAATTTAATTAGTTTTATCATATATTTATAAGGAATATGACTTATTGGCGACCTGTATTGATTTTGTTGATCTCTTTTTAGGCTATTTTGTTGACAAGTGCCCACAGACAAAATAACAACGGCAAACAAAAATGCTACATGCGCATAACATTAATCTTTATTCATCTTAAAATATTTCAATTCATTCCTATTTTAGTTCAGAGTGTTTAACAGTATTAAGCGCCATTATTTTTTTTGCTTTATTTTTAGATGTCGACAAAGAACACATCACCAATGTATACATTTACAAGGACGAACATCTAAGTGAAATGGTTGAAAGTGCGTTAAACACAACCGACTTCAATAATGATGGATATATTGATTATTCTGAATTTAAGAAAGGAAAACCTTTATAAATATTTACTCATGACTTATTACCAAATCTACAGAAAAAAATAAAACTACAGGTACCCATAGACGATTAAGTTCTGACGTAAAGAGAATCGTTTCTGTTTAAAAAGGGTGGCGGTACGGCAGCAGCGCTGTAAATTTAAAGAAAATGCATAAAGCTATTATAATGGGTTAGAAAAATAAGAGAGGAAAAAACACGAGATTGGACCATTTTTATTGCATTAAAAACACAATAAATCTTTTTGAATTCGCAAAATTCAATGTAACTGCGAAAATAAGATGTTACAGTCAATAAAGTCAATACATTTACTCACTTCATTTCGTCTGTAACTGCTAACTTCCTGTTATACATTTGCCTATACTAGCGCCATTCTGATCAGTTTGGAACGATTTTTTAAAATCAGTAATAAATGCTAGACTTTTTTCGGTTTGCCATCTATGTAAGATAGTGCTCCTTACATGTCAACTCCATACCATAGACAACATAATAAGCATAGACCAATATTTTTTTTTTTATTGGTTGATAAAAAATAACTAGAGTGTAAAGGCAAGGACAACCATCTCTTAAGGGAGGAAAGTTGAAAAAGTGTCCAACTGTATACTGAAATTAGAGAACGAAAAACTATGATATGAACATAGCTATTGTAGACGGAGTGAAGTATGCTGAGTAAAAATATTATAATATTTTTATAGAAAGTTATTGCATGTTTATTAATTGTTTGTAAAACTCATTGACTACAGATCTAGTATACAGTGTCTAATTATCATTTAAGACAAAATAAATTTATCCTAGGTTACCACCACCTAACGCCACCCTTATTTGACGCGTTTTTACGGTAACTTTCATACACAGTATAGCTAATATTGCAAATACAGATAAAGAACTTAAAACTTGTTACAAAGACACCAAGTGTAGTCTTTCTACTTGATAATAAAAGTAGATTTTGTTATTTTTTAAAGGCCAGAGTAGTGAATTTAGTTCAATAAATAAAACAACTTTTTAATAAAACACTTTTATTAAAAACGTAGCTACTCTATAAAAATTTGGTATAATTATTTAGTCACATGCCTTGTTTGTACAAAAAGTTTTTTCTACATTTAAAAACATGATAACTTGGTAAAACAGAAACAAGATATTAGTTTATAATATATGTTGGTAGAGTGAGATAGAATTTCTTAGTAATTTTGTCTCAGTTAACTGGAAAATAATAATATAATGGAATTTGTACTGTCTGTGTATTTTATACTTTTGTATAAGAAAAGAAATAAAGATTTGTTTATGTGTGGTGCTTGTTTGTTCTTTTTAAGGTTATCTGTGTATTATAAACGCAAAGGAAATATTTAACATTTGATCTTAAAGAGAATTATAAGTTAAAAAACTAGCGCCATCTAGTGTAACTTTAAGAAAACGTTGAGGAAATAAATCTTTTTCCTTTTACTTTCATATTATTATTCAGATACATATAATATCAATGCTGTGATATCAAAAGAAGTCAAAATAGCTAAGACAAAATGTGTCAAGCCAAGGTCTATAATTTACTTCCACACTTAGTACTCGCTACTTATCGCTGGACGTCACTACAATGCTTTAGGTTAATTTGTTTTTAATTTTCAGACTCATTACCATTCTAATGTATTTTGCATAGCGTCTCGGAAACTAAGACTGTTTTCGCTATAGAACTGTGAAAACCAACTTCGGAATGCGCGTATTGTTTTGTCTGTGCGGACGTAGGCGGGGGCTGAGACGAAACGTTTGCTGTTCCAAATCGCTACGTCCCGTTCGAACTGTAAAGAAAAAAAAAATACCTGTGGGTTCAGTAGTTATGACTAAGCTAAGGTTTCTGGATGTCTTAATAAAAGCTTTTCAAGGCTTTTGTCTATTTAAGGCGCTTGTATGGCATTTTAGACGGTTCGATACTTATAAACACCAATGTGGTGACAGCCCGAGGCGGTTGCCCAAAAAGCCAAAGTTAAGAACTCGCTATAAAAAAATCTAGCTTTTCCTCGCGGTTTCGCTCGCGATTATGTCAATTTTGTTAGTCAATTTGTCTTTCATAGCAAGCTAATTATTGAAAAAAGAAACAACAAGAAAATTAAAATTTACAAACCGGCGATTTTGATTTTTACAATTAGATAAGATAAGATAAGATAATAACGTTTATTTCTCCTCAGAATAAAGACTTATTATACACAAAATAGTGAATAATACTTAGGACATTTATTAGCAGTCTAATTTTCAATTTTTATTTTAAATTTCATTCAATTCATACTCATCCAGTCTGTCTTACAATTAAGATGAATATAATGATACCTCAAACGCCAAAATCCATTAAACCCTTTTAAGCTACAGAGCGTGCCTAGTTAATGTCTTTACGTAAACTCGAAAAACATAGTCCTCCTTCTGACCAGTATGGTAAAAATAGCCTACGTTATATCTACAAGTATATCTATTATATAAAATTTATCTGCAGTTTGTCCATGTGGTGACGGATTAAGAATACAGAGTGTCACCACCCCTATTCATCCCGTGGGTGTCGTAAGAGGCGACTAAGGAAGCAAACTACGCAGGACAACAGCACTGCAGAGAGAAGGAAAACTTGATACCCTATACCAACCCGTCTGGCCAGCGTGGTATAGTAGGCCAAAACCTCCTTTCTAAGGAGAGGCTTATGTCCACCAGTGGACTAGTAAAGGCTGTTGATATCTGTAGTTTTATGATAATTATTCTTTCTACCTATATCTATTAAAGAAGAACTTGACAGAATGATTCACTGACTGATTGATCAAGGCACAGCTGTTACCGCTGGGTCTAGAAGCATGAAATTTTGCACAAATGTTCCTTAGGTGACGTAGGTGGGTATTTAATAAGGATTTTTTTAAATTCCGCTCCTAAGGGTGCAAAATAGGGGTTGAAAATCTACGTGGAACTTCGTTATTTTTGGTAGTAGCGTTTTTAAACTCACAGTAAGTAGTATTCTTTATTAAAAGTCATAAAAAACGTTACAATTTTTTCAAAACAACACTTAAAAGGGGGCGCAAGTTTGTATGGAGATTTATACATATACCTATTTTTTTTCCCTTGATTCTTTGTATCTTAGTCCTAGTCTATATCTGTGCCAAATTTCACCCAGATCCGTTCAGCAGTTCGGGCGTGATGGGTTACAAACATTCGTATATCCGTCCTCGCAAATTTCGTCGTTTTCAATATTAATGGGATTTAAGATATAAATTATCCAAGAACTAACCATTGCGCCTTCTGTTTTGACGAACACAGCAGCTGCGGGCGCGTTGTAAGCTGGTGAGAACATCCTGTGGACGACCTTCTGTAAATTGGCACTTAGTGGGGTCACCGACTGTGAGATCAGTATTGGACCCAAAGGCCAATTGATGAGGAGACGCACGTTACCTGGACCAATCTGGGAATAATAGAATAACTGTAAAATTTGGGTTCCAGAAGCCGTGGGAGACCCGTGCTTTACGCGTATCTGATGACTCGACCGGAGTTTTACCACGGCCTAACAGAAAATAGATGTTAAAAATAAATTCTTTGGTTTTTGGTTTTCACCGACGGCTCAAGTCTCCCTCCTACGTCCGTGCAGGGGGGGGGGGGGGGAAGGGGGAAATGGGTCTCAAAGGGAGGAAAATGCTGCCTTTTTTTACTCGGTGTAATGAATTATGTTACCGGACGTCCATCCCTCCCTCAACGGTGGGGGTCACCCCACTTGTGTCTCTTGAGTCGTATTAAGTGTATTTGGGCAGCGTATCACTTACCATCAGTTGACTAGTCTAGTCTAGTAATTATTTTTTTTAAATTCAAAAGTTAATTTAAAAAATATGTATATAATTCAGCCACTCCATTGACATGTTTAATTGCTAAGAATGTATACTGTTCTTCATAATTACCTGGGTAATTTTGGCATCAATATGAAGCACGTTGTACTTCAATATCTTGTAATCGTGCGTCAGAGTGATGTATGATGTGTGATCCTCACCTTTGCTCCAATTAGCCGACCATTCGTGGCAACCTTGAGAAATTTACCTATATATTAATACGTGTGGATTAGGAATACAGAGTGTCACCACCCCTATTCATCCCGTGGGTGTCGTAAGAGCTGACCAAACAGAAAGCACTGCAAAGAGAAGGACAACTTGAAGCAAACCCTTTACCAACCCGTCTGGCCAGCGTGGTATAGTAGACCAAAATCTTTTCCAACGAGAGGCCTATGTCTAGCAGTGGAGTATTAAAAGCTGTTGATGAGGATATCAAAATATTCATACCACTGATGAAAATTATAATAGTGTGGAATGAATTATGAAAGAAAGAAATATTTCACATTTTTACTTTTTGACGACCGAATGGCGTAGTGGTTTGTGTAACGGACTGCTATTCCAAAGGTCGCGGGTTCGATTCCCGCTCAAGTCAAGCATTTGTGTGCATGAACATTTAATGTTTGATTTGGTCTGGGTGTTTCTGTGTATAATAAGTATGTATTTACAAAAAAAAAAAAGTATATATGTATTTATATCAGTTGTCTAGTACCCATAGTACAAGCTCTGCTTAGTTTGGGACTAGATGGCGTTGTGTGAATGTAGTAGAATATTATTATTATTATTATTACTTTTAAAACATGTTGAAAAAACCTTTGTCTGAGTATCTTAAGTATGTAAAGGTGTCTCAAATCAGAGATCCAACGCGTCATCGGTGTTTAACATCTCTGTGTAAAAGTCATGGAAAATTTCATGAAAAGAGTAATGGCCTGTCATTAATAGAGCCGTGGGGGCCATTTGCCGGATATTTTATTCCATACTTAATCGGAGCATGTCTTCTTTACAATCCAAATAAAAATATCATAACTCTTTCATAAAATACGTGTTTTGATTTTAAAATGAAGAAGTGCACTCTTACTGAGACACCCTTTTAAAAAAAAAAGTATATATATATATACACTGTGGCGGTATAGATATCACAAAAAATGAAATAACAGATAACACGGTTCAATATACGTCGGTTAAAATAAAAAAATAAAAAATTAGTACGAAAATACAGAAATGCAAATTTAGAACAAACTAAATACAATAAAATAATTTCCGAATTAGAACACCATTGATAACATGAGTCGGTGAACTGTACCTACACGGCAGCGTCGCAATGTCGGCGACATCAAAACGACGCCGCCGCCGCCGCCGCCGCCGAACTTTACATTCTTATTACCTACCTACCAATCACTTCACTTGCTTTTAAAAATCTATTTATAAAGAATGCGATTTTATTCACGTGTTTATTTCGTGAATGCTCGACTAGCTTCCGACCCAGCAGTACGCGTCACTCCTTGAAAAAGTAGTTACCTTGGTTGTCTCGTAATCTTTGTACCGCCCTTACAAAAATTCGGCAGTCTGTAGGACATACACGATTGACTCCATACGTGTCCGTAAAGCAAAAGATGCGTTTTGATAGAGTTTTCCATAAATTAACATCATAGCAGGATATTCCGCCGCTGTGAAGGTCACTCACGGCATTATGGATGTTGATATCGATAACCCAATAAAATTAAAAGACTGATAATGCACTCAGTTTCACACTACACTACACACAGAACCTAATACTGACTTTTCAAAATAAAATTAGCAGGACTCCTTACATTACGAAGTCTTGCGCACACGATAACATTAATTGTTCACACCATTGCCGTGTATTATGACGAAAGCAATAAGACTAAACAATTATTACCACAAGAAAACTTCTCTAAACAAATATGTATCTCATAAACAACAACAATATTATTATTACGGTTATTTGTCGTGAGCGCATCTACAAGGATACGGAATAGCATAAGCTCGCCGGTGGCCAAGGGCCGACTGACTGTCCTTACTGGATGAACTAATTAAAAACGCGTGTTGCATCGTGATGACGTAATAATCAACATATTTCGTTCGATTCGGGTGTAGTAAAAGCGGCAACGTGTGATTACCGCGCCGCTGATCTATACCTACAGCTGATCGCCGCCTGAGGTCAATGTATTATGACTGCATGTACACATGATGTTGCAATTTACGAAACACAAAAATGAGTCCTGTGGCTAAACTACTGGATATATTTTGTTCATATTTTGCAAATCGCCTAGAAATTAAGGGTAGAATATGTGGCTTAAGTATTTGTGAAAGGAAATGAAACTCTCTGTATATGTATTTAAATCAGTTTTCTAGTAACCTTAGTACAAGCTCTGCTTAGTTTGGGACTAGATGGCGTTGTGTCAATGTGGTAGGATATTATTATAATGTTTTATTTCCTTTATTTATAAGGTACATCTCTGCCTATCCCTCCGGGGAAATAGGTGTGATTATATGTTTTATTTTATTTTACATTGTCTATACAAAAAAGTTGCCAGTAAGATAAAATCAACTATAAAATTTCCTACCTATGATGTTATACAGGAATGGGAATTTCTCTCCAAGACTAGTCAATAGGGAAGGCGAATGTACAGCGTTCAGATGTGCCACGTCCGCACCATTTTCTGGTATTTCCTACAAAAAATAAATTTATAAAATTAAAACCCACGGAAGTAAAGACATTAATAAAAAACAACTTGTCATAGACTATAAGAAGCTTGTACTCCTGACTTACAATTACCATCAAGTAACCCGTCTTAGCCGACATAGCCTACCGAATCAGCAAGCTGAAGTGGCAGTGGGCTTGCCATATTAGCCGCTAAACCGACAACCGTTGGGGAAAAAGAGTTCCTGAGTGGAGACCGCGTCTCGGCAAACGTAGTGTAGGACGCCCACAGGCCAGGTGGAGTGACGATTTGCGCAAGATGGCTGGCAGGAGCTGGATGCGAGAAGCCCAAAATCGATCTAAGTAGCGTGCAATGGGAGAGGCCTATGTCCAGCAGTGGACTGCGATAGGCTGATGATGATGATGATGAACCCGTCTGGTTCGTGTGGTGACGGATTAAGAATACAGAGTGTCAACACCCCTATTCATCCCGTGGGTGTCGCAAGAGCCAACTAAGGGAAAAAATCTAAACAGAACAACAGCACTGCAGAGAGAAGATAAACTTGACACAAACACTATACCAACCCGTCTGACCACCGTCGTATAGTAGACCAAAACCTCCTTTCTAGAGCATCATTATCATCAACAGCCCTTAACAGTCCACTGCTGGACATGGGCCTCTCCTTAGAAAGGAGGGTTTGGCCTACTATACCACGCTGGCCAGACGGGTTGGCATAGGGTTTGTGTCAAGTTTTCCTTCTCTTTGCAGTATTGTTGTCCTGCGTAGTTTGCTCCCTTAGTCGGCTCTTACGACACCCACGGGATGATTGGGGGTGGTGACAATCCGTATTCTTAATCCGTCACCACACGGACACACAAACCGTAAGTAGGTCAAAACCTCCTTTCTAGAGCAGCAGCGGAATATTAAAGGCTGTTGATGTGATGTGAAATATAAAAGTGAATTTGTTTGTTTGTAATGCTTGATTCTATGTCTTAACTCCACTGAATACCTCCTTTCTAGGGAGAGGCTTGTGTCCAGCAGTGGACTGTTAAAAGCTTTTGATGATGTGATGAACCCGTCTTGTTCTTTTGATGAAAACTGTTTCTATACATCGTATATAAACAGTTGTCATAGGAGGTCTTCAACATCATTTATACGAGGTATTATAAAAATACCCAAATAGCAACAGGTGAACAAGAGTACCATCAATTTCAACATAGACCAGAACTCACATTCTTTATTCAAAGGACTCAAATAAAAAGAATATCAATCAATTAGGTAGTTAATATCGGCAAGAAACATTTAAAAAATACAACCTACAACCGAATCAAGGGGGACTCTTGAATTAGCTAAGAAATTAAACAAGGACTGCTAAAGCATTTCACCAGGAAAACATCAAGAAGTACCTGTATATGTGCGCTCACGATGTATTCATTCCTTCCTCTGTATCCCCAACTCTTCAACTCTGGTGCGTCAGATATATTCCACAGAGGCTCTCTGTGCTCCGCATCGTACCAGATCCAAACGGCACCGTCCACTTCACTTGTTGTCCAATGTTTTATGGACACGCCTTTGGGAGCTAAAACATAACAGTATACAAACTTTAATAGTACACTGCCGGTCATAGGCCTCTCCTTTGAAAGGAGGTTTTGGCCTACTATACCACGCTGGCCAGACGGGTTGGTCTAGGGTTTGCGTCAAATTGTCCTTCTCTTTACAGTGCTTTTGTCCTACGCTCCCTAAGTCGGCTCTTACGACACCCATGGGATGAATAGGGGGGGGGTGACAATGTGTATTCAACATAATCTAATATATTAACCGTATATTCTGTAAGATGTAAGATAAATTACATCTTTAATATTTAGAAATATTTAAGTATATTTATAAGCGGTATGGTTACCATAGTACAGGCTTTGCCTAGTTTATGATCAGACGGCCGTGTGTGGGATGTGTTTAGTTATTATTATTGACAACAAAGTTAGATAGCTCGAAAAGTAGTAGATAAAACTTTCTGTAGTAGCGTCCCACCGAAAATAGTAAGATGCGTCTACGTACGTTCTACACCTCCCCCAGGGACACCCCTCTAATTACGGCTGACTCGCAGTTCCAGGCAAGGGTCATATCGATTTATTAAGCTATTGTTTAGAATTCTGGTATAAATAGGTCTGCTCCATGGCCAGCTACGCGTTTGTGACTCCTGAGCTGCAGGCGTTCATGGGCAGCAATAGTCGCTTTCCATCAGGTGACGCGTCTGCTCGTTTGTGCACTCTTCTATGAAGAAACAACGCCATCTAGTTTCACACTAAGCAAAGCTTGTACTATGAAAGTTAGATTGACTGATAGAATACTTACCTACATACTTTTACTTGTAAATAAATACATACAAAACATCAAACTTTCGAAACAATAATTTGCAGATCATACAAACATTTGGTCCGGACCCGGGAATCAAACCCGAGACCTCGGCACAGCAGTCCCATACGCTACCACTGCGCCACCAAGGCAGTCGGTTATTGCATGGCTCATGTTTCGTAACCTATTGTAAGTTTAAACAATGATAATTCAACTGTGATGGTCAACAATGTTTGAAAGATCTCGTAGCGCCATCTAGTATTAAAATAATGAAACTAATTCAGTCAGTAACACTATATTATTATTGTTGTTTATACGTACCTTGTTCAACACCGGGGACACTGACACAAGCGCCTTCTTCGTTAAAACGCCACTTATGGAACGGACATTCGATACAATTTCCACACACACTGCCACCTACTGCAAGATTGGCACCTAGATGAGGGCAGTACGCGTCTACACAACGCGCTGCACCATCCTCGCCACGATATACGCAAAGATTTTGACCTGAAATTAAATTAATTTTACAAGAACGAACGTTTAACTTCACTTTTTTATTACAGTTATGCTATTCGTTCATAGATGTCGTAATGCGTTTTGTAATTTTTAAGTTGCAATACGATTGAATATCTGTTCTAAAAGTATTCTTTTTCCATAAATGTGAACTATTTTGTAAATTTTATATTTTAAAATTAATATTAAAATTAAGGGATGATTTCAGTGAAATTTCTACTTTCTGCTAGATGTCGCCACTTACCTAAAACATCTACAGCCTGTACTCCTCCTGTTTTTAATTCTCTGCTCTCTGCCACTGCGTACCATCCATTGGGGTATGGCGGAGGCACTTTACTGCCCAAACGTCTGGCTGTCTGTGCCCTTGATATACGCCTATCCCGGTCGGGACCGGGAGGAATATGGTCGAAACCAACCTGTGTTAGTTCCTGCAAAAGAATTTTACCTTTACCATACCATAGACAAAATTGGCGGTCAAAACATGGCGTCAATTTAACTGCGGTTAAATCAATACTAGTCTTCTGAAGCTGAAGTGTCAACCACGTGAAAAAATATTGTAGTTTTGGATAGCTCGGTATCGGAGGAATCGAGCATCAATAAAAAATGTAGCAAAATTAAAAAAAAAATATTCCATTTGAGAGACGCAGACAAAGGTCAACTATTTTTTTAAATAAATGCGCTCCGTTGTAGTGTCGTCTAATAATAATATAAATATAAAATAGATACTTACTCTTTTTATCAGTAAGGGACTCCAATAACTTTTATATATCACTATTAATATAACTATAAATATCACAGCACACAATATGGATACACTATTATCGTAAATTACGTTGAAAATTGTTCTTAAAACACTAAAAATTATGTTAAACCAATAAAATACATCTTTTAAATTGAGTTTATTGTCTAACATGTCGCATTCGAACTTTGAATAATTTTCACAAGACGCCATTTTGAGTTATGTTTTCAAAATGGTGGTGAAGCGTATTACACCTGAAAAAGAGAGAAAAATGAATTATTATTTTAGGCAAAGCATTTTTTATGGTACAGAAGGTATATGAGCAAAAGGGGTCACATGATGGTAAGGGACGTGCACCACCCAATTCAAGAGATACAGAGGACAGTTTATGGAATCTGAAAGGTGGTCCGTGTGGTGACGGATTAAGAATACAGATTGTCACCACCCCTATTTATCCCGTGGGTGTTGTAAGAGTCAACTAAGGGAAAAAATTACGCAGAACAACAACACTGCAGAGAGAAGGAAAACTTGACACAAACCCTATACCAACCCGTCTGGCCAGCGTGGTATAGTAGGTCAAAACCTCCTTTCTAAGGAGAGGCTTATGTCCAGCAGTGGACTATTAAAGGCTGTTGATGATGATAATGATGATGAAAGGTGGTTGAGGCATTGTGACAATACCCTAGAAAATATTATTATTCAAAGTGTGAGGAATAATATGTAAGCTTATTTTATCTAATATTTATATTTGGTAATCCAATACTGTACCATTTTATGCGTAATGCGTGTTGGTGTAACATTTCAAATACTATAAACGTCATAGATATAGGTACGGCCAGTAAAACCATAAGTCAGAAATAATTAATTAAATAATTTAAAAAAAGTCTGAATAAATTTGACAGGCCTAGTTTTTTAGTCAATGCATATATATGTTTACACTGTACATATGCCAAAATAACATTTTTTACCATTTTTGTCTGTCTGTCTGTCTATCTGTCTGTCTGTTTGTTCCGGGTAATCTCTGGAACGGCTGGACCGATTTCGACGGGACTTTCACTGGCATATAGCTGATGACATAAAGAGTAACTTAGGCTACTTTTTTTAGACTAGCTTCGCCCCGCGGCGTTGCCCGCGGTTATAACAACAAACGCGGGTAACACCGCGGGTCTCAGCTAGTTCTAAATAAAAATACCCATATAACTTATTTATATATATATATATATGTACATATCTATACAAATAAATAAAATTGAAGTGTCTGTTTTTTCATGCTAACACGGTTATTTTAACGATACCTATTCGTTAAAAACCGTCTATCTAAATAGATAGACGGTTTAGAATTAGAATTAGATTTAGAAATAGAAGATTTCCCGGAACAAATGTTCCGGGTAATCTTCAAAACGGCTGGACTGATTTTGATAATATTTTACTACCAGGTAGCTGTCTATATAAGGAGTAACTTAGGCACCACTAAGGCAGCGCTTATCAAATTCCACGCGAACGAAGTTGCGATAAATTACCTAGACACAGAACAAAAATATTCATGCTGGTCACACAATATTTGTTCTGTGTGGGAATCGATATTGCTACACCTGCCTTTTTTGTTTGTTTTTGACGGGTTGGAAAATCTTTTCGAATCGGGCATTTAGGAGAAAGGAGTATGTGGTGTTTCCACTAAAAACTACCACCCTGCTCTAGGGAGAACTCGGGCCATGTAATTTCAGGTCCTCCCCCAGATCACCGCCGCACTATCCAAAGTTGCAGCCTGATCACGGTTTGGAAGCAGTCAGATCCACCAACAACTATATAGGCTGACTAAAAGTGATCTGATAATTATCAAGTAGACAATTCTAATTTGTTTCCACATATTTCCAGATACATCTTAAAAAACATATCGCTAGGCTACTGCCGCCCAAGGACACCTGAAACTTAAGAGCGACTCACGTATATTCACGAAATAATCGCTCAATTATAGGACAATGTGGTGAGGGGGAATTTACGTGAAAAGGCGTACGTTACGAAAAAGCGTTAGTCGCTATCTCTCTCGCTCTGCGTTCCCTGCCTGCAGAGCGAGTGAGAGAGGAAAAGTAATCCGTCTATTTTTGAAGCCGTTATCAGTCAGGGCCATTTGTTTACGGGTTTTCAATTATTTTCACTTTATCTAGTTTGAGATATATAATGATTTCTAAATTTTATATTTACGTACGATTCACTTTCACACGATACGCGTGTAGGTGTCAAATGTCAAAATTCCCTCCAACTTTAAATCGAGTACGCATCAGCGACCTTGTCAAGAAATGCTTGCACAGGTTATAAATTTTCTAGGTCAAATCGTTATACATTGACTGTCATTAAAGTGCGTGTAAAAGGAATCAGCTGTTTTAGATTTTTCATTAACATAATTGTTGCTCTTCTTAAATTTAGAAAATATGATTATCAATAAATAAGTAAATTAATTGTTATTACGTAAAATAGAATGTAATTAGGATGCACTCTTAAGTCGAAATGTTTGAGGGCTGGAGGTTGATTCAATATTTTTAGGCATTTAGGCATATTAAGTTTAAATCAGTTAGGATGAATTAGGCAAGTTAACTGGTGCAAGGTTGGGCATCACCACTCAACACGCGTAGTGCTCCGCTTTCCACCGGAAACGATCAGGGACTTATTAATTTAATAAAAACTTTGTTTGTATAAATTTGTTTGTACTCATGACTGTGTCTGAACTATTTTTTTTTTGTAAAACTAATTTATAATTAAAAAATGTGTATCTTAATTAAAATTAATAGTATAATTTAAACTTAATTTCTTTTGCTAAATACACTTGAATATATATGTTAATAAGTTTATTTTTTATTTGGGTTCTTCAATCCTAACAATGAACCTCTACAGTTTCGAAAAATCGAAAAATCTAAACTGCAAATTTATGCTTAGCTTAAATCTCGATAGATGGCGTTGTTCCTTCTATGTGAATCGCGTTATTATTTCGCCCAACCAATAAGATGAATAATGTTTAATGACAAGCCTTTAATAGGAATAATACGGTATCAAGTGGAAAGTTGTAGTTTTATTTAGTTACCCCACAGCAGTGCAATTTATGTTGTTCCCAATTAAATGCCAGGCAACACTGACAACCCTATGTGATAATTTTATTGTATTCTGCGGTTTGAGATATATTTACTTCTCATAAGAATTTCAAATAATAATTCACTTAAATGAGAAAGATTAAACATATACACAACAAATAATAGTCTCATCCTTGGCGTACACTGTTGTTCTCCTAATTTTTAACCGACTTTAAAAGGAGGAGATTATTTATTGATATCTTTATATATTTTTAAGTATGTTCGGGAATAACTGTCATAATTTTATAGACGGATTTTCAAATTTCTTTTTTTGTTCGAAAGGGGTTTGTTCTGAAATGGTCCCATTTAAATTTCACATACTTATCTTTTATATTTTGTTGTTGAGAATTTGCTTCAGAAATTACTCGTAAAGTGATTTTTAAGTTGTTTTTTTCTGAAGAACAGCCACGCGTGGGCTTCTGAATGTGAGGTCCTGGTCGATTGAGTCGGGTGAGCAGGGGTTGGCGCGAAGTGGTCTCTCTATTAAGGCTGGTAAAAGGTATAGGTGGCCGCACAGAGCAGATCCCGAGCATAGAGGATGTCGTTGGCGATATCAGCCGTCGACGAGGCCGAATACTTGGCGTAGTGGTTTAGACAATGATTCACACATTGAACTACACTTTATGTGATCCACAAATTGTTGTTCTGAGTCTGGGTGTTCTTTGTGTCCATCTCATAAATGTATGTAAGTCCCCCACGACACGGGATTTATTCCTATCATAGTCTTTTAAATGATGAAAAAAAAGAGAGTGGCGACCTCTCGTGGCAGATTAGAAATTGCGGTAGGGGATAGGGTGGAGGCCGCGTCAAGACGCGTTCGGGTCGCTACATAGTTGTAGTCCCAGAGGATAGAGTCCAGTTAGTCGAGGCGTCGACTTTAGGGGACTTTGATAGGCTGGGGTTCCTACACGGGGGGGGTCGTCTACTTGTTGTAGATGGCCCGAGGTATGTCGGGGCACCAGGGACTTCCTTTCTAGGGTATACCTGGTTCCCCGGCTATTAGTACCCGAGACGGCGTGCGGTTTTAGTCGGTTCGAGTCCGACATGCCACCGACAGGTGGTATCCGAGGGGTTTTGCGCACGGAAAAAAAAGGGGACTTTGATAGGACATGGTCCGGGTTCTCACCAGAGTAGGGTACCTGATCCGGCAGTCAGGGTGGTTTTTAGTTGCAAGTTGCAAGTTGACTAGAATTTGAAAAGCGCTGCTGTACTTGGGTACATGGGTTCGATTCCCGGACCGGGCAAAATTTAAAAGGATTTTTCTAATAGCAAAAATAGCCTAAGTTATTCCTTATATAGACTAATAAAATATAATAATTAAACTGGTTTTTAGGCATGGGTATCGTGTGATCGTGTATCGTGTAATCGTAAATAACCGCGTGTCGTGAAAAAAACCTGTTATTTTGTCATTAAAGATACTTCAATTTTATTTCTTTGCATAGATATAGATAAGACATAATCCTGCGACATAAGACCGCGTGTTGTCGGATTAAGACTATTCATCCCGTGGGTGTCGTAAGAAGCGAGTAAGGGAAAAAAACTAGGCAGGACAACAGCACTGCAGAGAGAAGGAAAACTTGACACAAACCCTATACCAACCCGCCTGGCCAGCGTGGTATAGTATAGGCTAAAACGTCCTTTCTGAGGAGAGGCCTATGTCCAGCAGTGGACTTTTAAAGGCTGTTGATGAATCCTGCGGTATTTACTTACCATATTATTAGGTGACCCGTCTGCTCGTTTGCCCCCTATTCCCCCTACCATAAAAAAAAACTCCGGGAGTGCCGTCAGAAGTGTAAACTTGAACCATTACGAGTGTATTTTATTTAATTCGAAAAGTTTCGATATGAATACCAGTATATATCTATGTTGTACGTAAATACACAATAGGTATACGAGTATGTTTATATTATACTAGCTGACCCGCGCAACTTCGTCTGCGTGTCTCAATAGTAATAAATTTTCTCCGTTTTTGAAACATTCTTCATTGGTGCTCCGCTCCTATTGGTCTTAGCGTGATGATATATAGCCTATAGCCTTCCTCGATAAATGGGCTATCTAACAATGAAAGAAATTTTCAAATTGGACCAGTAG